CTGTCCCAAGTCTAGAGGAACACCATCTTCAGCACAGCAACTCGAGGAATGCTCCGTGTACCCCAAATCGTCTCGAGATGAGAGCTGCTTCCCTGGCTTAGGCTCAAGACGTATGCCAACTTTCCAGAAGCACCTCAAGGGGAGGCTTCTCTCAGCAATAGGAATGTTGGAGGGACCCCCAGTTTGCTGCCTCAAGTGGAATATGCAGCGAGAAGCCCTAACTTGAAAGGAGGCCGGGTTTCCTTGCAGTGTCTTGAATACAGGCTCGTCTTTCATCTCACAACGGGAAGGAATGTCTGAATCCCCTGTGGAGTCCTTAGCGAAAGCCCTATGTCCCTGCCTCATTTTGACGGATTGCCTCACATCCCGTTGACACCTCCGGAGGCACACGGAGTTCACTGCTTCAAATGTGACGATGCCTGACTCCTCCTGAACATTCATAGGAATCCCAAAATCACTGTGGCTACAGAAAAGGGTTCTTGTGTGCCCTGCCTCACCTCGAGAAGCATCCCTTTTGCCCTGCCAAGGCTCGAAAAGATTCCTGAGGTGTCCCTCATTACTAGACAGAAGTCATGACGTCACTGAATAAACACGTGTTTTCAAGGGCCAAGCCCGCCATAACTCGAGAACATACCCCACGTACCGCCGAAACTCGAGAAAAACCTTGAGACTTCCCCTAGATGCGATATGAGGCCTGATTCCCTGCAGTCCATGCAGAGCATTCCCGTGATCCCAATCAAGCAAGTCAGCAGCTTCGAATTGCTTAATGGATCTCGAGAGAGTCCCCAGGAACACTGTCACAAGTCTAGACAGACCCTGACATCACCCCAGCAAAGCAAAGCAGGTCCAAGTACCCCACATCACCTCGAGTTGAGGCCCGATTCCCATGCATTGACTCCAGAGCCATCCCCCGTACCCCATTAAACACCACCAGTGGCTTGACTTCCTTCAGGCAACTACAGAGATGCCCCGAGAACACTGTCCCAAGTCTAGAGGAATACGAACTTCAGCACAGCAACTCGAGGAATGCTCCGTGTACCCCAAATCGTTTCGAGGTGAGAGCTGATTCCATGGCTTAGGCTCAAGACGTATGCCAACTTTCCAGAAGCCCCTCAAGCGGAGGATTCTCTCAGAAATAGGTATGTTGGAGGGACCCCCACTTTGCTGCCTCAAGTGGAATATACAGCGAGAAGCCCTAACTTGAAAGGAGGCCGGATTTCCTTGCAGTGTCTTGAATACAGGCTCGTCTTTCATCTCACAACCGGAAGGGATGTCTGAATCCCCTGTGTAGAACTTAGAGAAAGCCCTAGGTCCCTGCCGCATTTTGACGGATTGCCTCACATCCCGTTGACACCTCGAGAGGCACGCGGAGTTCACTGCTTCAAAAGGTGATGATGCCTGACTCGTCTTGAATATTGATAGGAATCCCAAAATCCCTGTGGCTATTTGAAAGGTTCCTTGGGTGTCCTGCCTCACCTCGAGAAGCGTCCCTTGTGCCTGCCAAGCCTCGAAGAGATTCCTGAGCTGTCCCTCGTTACTTGACAGGAGTCCTGACGTCACTGAATAAACAGGAGTTTTTAAGGGCCATCCCCGCTGTAACCCGAGTACATACCCCAGGTCCCCGCCGCAAGTCGAGAAAAACCATGAGACTTTCCCCTAGTGGCGAGATGAGGCCCGATTCTCCTGCAGTGCATGCAGAGCAATTCTGTGATCCCCATCAAACAAGTCAGGACCTTCGACTTGCTTAATGGATCTCGAGACAGTCCCCAAGAATACTGTCACATGTCTAGACGGATCCTGAGGTCACCCCATCAACGCAAAGCAGCACCATGTGCCCCACATCAACTCAAGATAATGCCCGATTCCCCTGCATTGACTCCAGAGCCATCCCCCGTTCCACATTAAACACCACCAGTGGCTTGACTTCCTTCAGACAACTCCAGAGATGCCCTGAGAACACTGTCCCAAGTCTAGAGGAACACCATCTTCAGCACAGCAACTCGAGGAATGCTCCGTGTACCCCAAATCGTCTCGAGATGAGAGCTGATTCCCTGGCTTAGGCTCAAGACGTATGCCAACTTTCCAGAAGCACCTCAAGGGGAGCCTTCTCTCAGCAATAGGAATGTTGGAGGGACCCCCAGTTTGCTGCCTCAAGTGGAATATGCAGCGAGAAGCCCTAACTTGAAAGGAGGCCGGGTTTCCTTGCAGTGTCTTGAATACAGGCTCGTCTTTCATCTCACAACGGGAAGGAATGTCTGAATCCCCTGTGGAGACCTTAGCGAAAGCCCTAGGTCCCTGCCTCATTTTGACGGATTGCCTCACATCCCGTTGACACCTCGAGAGGCACCCGGAGTTCACTGCTTCAAATGTGACGATGCCTGACTCCTCCTGAACATTGATAGGAATCCCAAAATCACTGTGGCTACAGGAAAGGGTTCTTGTGTGCCCTGCCTCACCTCGAGAAGCATCCCTTTTGCCCTGCCAAGGCTCGAAAAGATTCCTGAGGTGTCCCTCATTACTAGACAGGAGTCATGACGTCACTGGATAAACACGTGTTTTCAAGGGCCAAGCCCGCCATAACTCGCGAACATACCCCACGTACCGCCGCGACTCGAGAAAACCATGAGACTTCCCCTAGATGCGATATGAGGCCTGATTCCCTGCAGTCCATGCAGAGCATTCCCGTGATCCCAATCAAGCAAGTCAGCAGCTTCGAATTGCTTAATGGATCTCGAAAGAGTCCCCAGGAACACTGTCACAAGTCTAGACAGACCCTGACATCACCCCAGCAAAGCAAAGCAGGTCCAAGTACCCCACATCACCTCAAGTTGAGGCCCGATTCCCATGCATTGACTCCAGAGCCATTCCCCGTACCCCATTAAACACCACCAGTGGCTTGACTTCCTTCAGGCAACTCCAGAGATGCCCCGAGAACACTGTCCCAAGTCTAGAGGAATACGAACTTCAGCACAGCAACTCGAGGAATACTCCGTGTACCCCAAATCGTTTCGAGGTGAGAGCTGATTCCATGGCTTAGGCTCAAGACGTATGCCAACTTTCCAGAAGCACCTCAAGCGGAGGATTCTCTCAGCAATGGGTATGTTGGAGGGACCCCCACTTTGCTGCCTCAAGTGGAATATACAGCGAGAAGCCCTAACTTGAAAGGAGGCCGGATTTCCTTGCAGTGGCTTGAATACAGGCTCGTCTTTCATCTCACCGCATGAAGGGATGTCTGAATCCCCTGTGGAGACCTTAGAGAAAGCTCTAGGTCCCTGCCTCATTTTGACGGAATGCCTCACATCCCGTTCACACTTCGAGAGGCACGCGGAATTCACTGCTTCAAAAGTTGATGATGCCTGACTCGTCTTGAATATTGATAGGAATCCCAAAATCCCTGTGGCTATTTGAAAGGTTCCTTGGGTGTCCTGCCTCACCTCGAGAAGCGTCCCTTGTGCCTGCCAAGCCTCGAAGAGTTTCCTGAGCTGTCCCTCGTTACTGGACAGGAGTCCTGACGTCACTGAATAAACAGGAGTTTTTAAGGGCCATCCCCGCTGTAACCCGAGTACATACCCCAGGTCCCCGCCGCAAGTCGAGAAAAACCATGAGACTTTCCCCTAGTGGCGAGATGTGGCCCGATTCTCCTGCAGTCCATGCAGAGCATTCCCGTGATCCCAATCAAGCAAGTCAGCAGCTTCGAATTGCTTAATGGATCTCGAGAGAGTCCCCAGGAACACTGTCACAAGTCTAGACAGACCCTGACATCCCCCCAGCAAAGCAAAGCAGGTCCAAGTACCCCACATCACCTCGAGTTGAGGCCCGATTCCCATGCATTGACTCCAGAGCCATCCCCCGTACCCCATTAAACACCACCAGTGGCTTGACTTCCTTCAGGCAACTACAGAGATGCCCCGAGAACACTGTCCCAAGTCTAGAGGAATAAGAACTTCAGCACAGCAACTCGAGGAATGCTCCGTGTACCCCAAATCGTTTCGAGGTGAGAGCTGATTCCATGGCTTAGGCTCAAGACGTATGCCAACTTTCCAGAAGCCCCTCAAGCGGAGGATTCTCTCAGAAATAGGTATGTTGGAGGGACCCCCACTTTGCTGCCTCAAGTGGAATATACAGCGAGAAGCCCTAACTTGAAAGGAGGCCGGATTTCCTTGCAGTGTCTTGAATACAGGCTCGTCTTTCATCTCACAACCGGAAGGGATGTCTGAATCCCCTGTGGAGAACTTAGAGAAAGCCCTAGGTCCCTGCCTCATTTTGACGGATTGCCTCACATCCCGTTGACACCTCGAGAGGCACGCGGAGTTCACTGCTTCAAAAGGTGATGATGCCTGACTCGTCTTGAATATTGATAGGAATCCCAAAATCCCTGTGGCTATTTGAAAGGTTCCTTGGGTGTCCTGCCTCACCTCGAGAAGCGTCCCTTGTGCCTGCCAAGCCTCGAAGAGATTCCTGAGCTGTCCCTCGTTACTTGACAGGAGTCCTGACGTCACTGAATAAACAGGAGTTTTTAAGGGCCATCCCCGCTGTAACCCGAGTACATATTCCCAGGTCCCCGCCGCAAGTCGAGAAAAACGATGAGACTTTCCCCTAGTGGCGAGATGAGGCCCGATTCTCATGCAGTGCATGCAGAGCAATTCTGTGATCCCCATCAAACAAGTCAGGACCTTCGACTTGCTTAATGGATCTCGAGACAGTCCCCAAGAATACTGTCACATGTCTAGACGGATCCTGAGGTCACCCCATCAACGCAAAGCAGCACCATGTGCCCCACATCAACTCAAGATAATGCCCGATTCCCCTGCATTGACTCCAGAGCCATCCCCCGTTCCCCATTAAACACCACCAGTGGCTTGACTTCCTTCAGACAACTCCAGAGATGCCCTGAGAACACTGTCCCAAGTCTAGAGGAACACCATCTTCAGCACAGCAACTCGAGGAATGCTCCGTGTACCCCAAATCGTCTCGAGATGAGAGCTGATTCCCTGGCTTAGGCTCAAGACGTATGCCAACTTTCCGGAAGCACCTCAAGGGGAGGCTTCTCTCAGCAATAGGTATGTTGGAGGGACCCCCAGTTTGCTGCCTCAAGTGGAATATGCAGCGAGAAGCCCTAACTTGAAAGGAGGCCGGGTTTCCTTGCAGTGTCTTGAATACAGGCTCGTCTTTCATCTCACAACGGGAAGGAATGTCTGAATTCGCTGTGGAGACGTTAGCGAAAGCCCTAGGTCCCTGCCTCATTTTGACGGATTGCCTCACATCCCGTTGACACCTCGAGAGGCACACGGAGTTCACTGCTTCAAATGTGATGATGCCTGACTCCTCCTGAACATTGATAGGAATCCCAAAATCACTGTGGCTACAGGAAAGGGTTCTTGTGTCCCCTGCCTCACCTCGAGAAGCATCCCTTTTGCCCTGCCAAGGCTCAAAAAGATTCCTGAGGTGTCCCTCATTACTAGACAGGAGTCATGACGTCACTGAATAAACACGTGTTTTCAAGGGCCAAGCCCGCCATAACTCGAGAACATACCCCACGTACCGCCGCGACTCGAGAAAAACCATGAGACTTCCCCTAGATGCGATATGAGGCCTGATTCCCTGCAGTCCATGCAGAGCATTCCCGTGATCCCAATCAAGCAAGTCAGCAGCTTCGAATTGCTTAATGGATCTCGAGAGAGTCCCCAGGAACACTGGCACAAGTCTAGACAGACCCTGACATCACCCCAGCAAAGCAAAGCAGGTCCAAGTACCCCACATCACATCGAGTTGAGGCCCGATTCCCATGCATTGACTCCAGAGCCATCCCCCGTACCCCATTAAACACCACCAGTGGCTTGACTTCCTTCAGGCAACTCCAGAGATGCCCCGAGAACACTGTCCCAAGTCTAGAGGAATACGAACTTCAGCACAGCAACTCGAGGAATACTCCATATACCCCAAATCGTTTCGAGGTGAGAGCTGATTCCATGGCTTAGGCTCAAGACATATGCCAACTTTCCAGAAGCACCTCAAGCGGAGGATTCTCTCAGCAATAGGTATGTTGGAGGGACCCCCACTTTGCTGCCTCAAGTGGAATATACAGCGAGAAGCCCTAACTTGAAAGGAGGCCGGATTTCCTTGCAGTGGCTTGAATACAGGCTCGTCTTTCATCTCACAGCATGAAGGGATGTCTCAATCCCCTGTGGAGACCTTAGAGAAAGCTCTAGTTCCCTGCCTCATTTTGACGGAATGCCTCACATCCCGTTCACACTTCGAGAGGCACGCGGAATTCACTGCTTCAAAAGTTGATGATGCCTGACTCGTCTTGAATATTGATAGGAATCCCAAAATCCCTGTGGCTATTTGAAAGGTTCCTTGGGTGTCCTGCCTCACCTCGAGAAGCGTCCCTTGTGCCTGCCAAGCCTCGAAGAGTTTCCTGAGCTGTCCCTCGTTACTGGACAGGAGTCCTGACGTCACTGAATAAACAGGAGTTTTTAAGGGCCATCCCCGCTGTAACCCGAGTACATACCCCAGGTCCCCGCCGCAAGTCGAGAAAAACCATGAGACATTCCCCTAGTGGCGAGATGAGGCCCGATTCTCCTGCAGTCCATGCAGAGCATTCCCGTGATCCCAATCAAGCAAGTCAGCAGCTTCGAATTGCTTAATGGATCTCGAGAGAGTCCCCAGGAACACTGTCAAAAGTCTAGACAGACCATGACATCACCCCAGCAAAGCAAAGCAGGTCCAAGTACCCCACATCACCTCGAGTTGAGGCCCGATTCCCATGCATTGACTCCAGAGCCATCCCCCGTACCCCATTAAACACCACCAGTGGCTTGACTTCCTTCAGGCAACTACAGAGATGCCCCGAGAACACTGTCCCAAGTCTAGAGGAATACGAACTTCAGCACAGCAACTCGAGGAATGCTCCGTGTACCCCAAATCGTTTCGAGGTGAGAGCTGATTCCATGGCTTAGGCTCAAGACGTATGCCAACTTTCCAGAAGCAACTCAAGCGGAGGATTCTCTCAGCAATAGTTATGTTGGAGGGACCCCCACTTTGCTGCCTCAAGTGGAATATACAGTGAGAAGCCCTAACTTGAATGGAGGCCGGATTTCCTTGCAGTGTCTTGAATACAGGCTCGTCTTTCATCTCACAACCGGAAGGGATGTCTGAATCCCCTGTGGAGAACTTAGAGAAAGCCCTAGGTCCCTGCCTCATTTTGACGGATTGCCTCACATCCCGTTGACACCTCGAGAGGCACGCGGAGTTGACTGCTTCAAAAGGTGATGATGCCTGACTCGTCTTGAATATTGATAGGAATCCCAAAATCCCTGTGGCTATTTGAAAGGTTCCTTGGGTGTCCTGCCTCACCTCGAGAAGCGTCCCTTGTGCCTGCCAAGCCTCGAAGAGATTCCTGAGCTGTCCCTCGTTACTGGACAGGAGTCCTGACGTCACTGAATAAACAGGAGTTTTTAAGGGCCATCCCCGCTGTAACCCGAGTACATACCCCAGGTCCCCGCCGCAAGTCGAGAAAAACCATGAGACTTTCCCCTAGTGGCGAGATGAGGCCCGATTCTCATGCAGTGCATGCAGAGCAATTCCGTGATCCCCATCAAACAAGTCAGGACCTTCGACTTGCTTAATGGATCTCGAGACAGTCCCCAAGAATACTGTCACATGTCTAGACGGATCCTGAGGTCACCCCATCAACGCAAAGCAGCACCATGTGCCCCACATCAACTCGAGATAATGCCCGATTCCCCTGCGTTGACTCCAGAGCCATCCCCCGTTCCCCATTAAACACCACCAGTGGCTTGACTTCCTTCAGACAACTCCAGAGATGCCCTGAGAACACTGTCCCAAGTCTAGTGGAACACCATCTTCAGCACAGCAACTCGAGGAATGCTCCGTGCACCCCAAATCGTCTCGAGATGAGAGCTGATTCCCTGGCTTAGGCTCAAGACGTATGCCAACTTTCCGGAAGCACCTCAATGGGAGGCTTCTCTCAGCAATAGGTATGTTGGAGGGACCCCCAGTTTGCTGCCTCAAGTGGAATATGCAGCGAGAAGCCCTAACTTGAAAGGAGGCCGGGTTTCCTTGCAGTGTCTTGAATACAGGCTCGTCTTTCATCTCACAACGGGAAGGAATGTCTGAATCCCCTGTGGAGACGTTAGCGAAAGCCCTAGGTCCCTGCCTCATTTTGACGGATTGCCTCACATCCCGTTGACACCTCGAGAGGCACACGGAGTTCACTGCTTCAAATGTGATGATGTCTGACTCCTCCTGAACATTGATAGGAATCCCAAAATCACTGTGGCTACAGGAAAGGGTTCTTGTGTGCCCTGCCTCACCTCGAGAAGCATCCCTTTTGGCCTGCCAAGGCTCGAAAAGATTCCTGAGGTGTCCCTCATTACTAGACAGGAGTCATGACGTCACTGAATAAACACGTGTTTTCAAGGGCCAAGCCCGCCATAACTCGAGAACATACCCCACGTACCGCCGCGACTCGAGAAAAACCATGAGACTTCCCCTAGATGCGATATGAGGCCTGATTCCCTGCAGTCCATGCAGAGCATTCCCGTGATCCCAATCAAGCAAGTCAGCAGGTTCGAATTGCTTAATGGATCTCGAGAGAGTCCCCAGGAACACTGTCACAAGTCTAGACAGACCCTGACATCACCCCAGCAAAGTAAAGCAGGTCCAAGTACCCCACATCACATCGAGTTGAGGCCCGATTCCCATGCATTGACTCCAGAGCCATCCCCCGTACCCCATTAAACATCACCAGTGGCTTGACTTCCTTCAGGCAACTACAGAGATGCCCCGAGACCACTGTCCCAAGTCTAGAGGAATACGAACTTCAGCACAGCAACTCGAGGAATGCTCCGTGTACCCCAAATCGTTTCGAGGTGAGAGCTGATTCCATGGCTTAGGCTCAAGACATATGCCAACTTTACAGAAGCCCCTCAAGAGGCGGCTTCTCTCAGCAATAGGTATGTGGGAGGGACCCCGAATTTGCTGCCTCAAGTGGAATATGCAGTGAGAAGCCCTAACTTGAAAGGAGGCCGGGTTTCCTTGCAGTGTCTTGAATACAGGCTCGTCTTTCATCTCACAACGGGAAGGAATGTCTGAATCCCCTGTGGAGACCTTAGCGAAAGCCCTAGGTCCCTGCCTCATTTTGACGGATTGCCTCACATCCCGTTGACACCTCGAGAGGCACACGGAGTTCACTGCTTCAAATGTGACGATGCCTGACTCCTCCTGAACATTGATAGGAATCCCAAAATCACTGTGGCTACAGGAAAGGGTTCTTGTGTGCCCTGCCTCACCTCGAGAAGCATCCCTTTTGCCCTGCCAAGGCTCGAAAAGATTCCTGAGGTGTCCCTCATTACTAGACAGGAGTCATGACGTCACTGAATAAACACGTGTTTTCAAGGGCCAAGCCCGCCATAACTCGAGAACATACCCTACGTACCGCCGCGACTCGAGAAAAACCATGAGACTTCCCCTAGATGCGATATGAGGCCTGATTCCCTGCAGTCCATGCAGAGCATTCCCGTGATCCCAATCAAGCAAGTCAGCAGCTTCGAATTGCTTAATGGATCTCGAGAGAGTCCCCAGGAACACTGTCACAAGTCTAGACAGAACCTGACATCACCCCAGGAAAGCAAAGCAGGTCCAAGTACCCCACATCACCTCGAGTTGAGGCCCGATTCCCATGCATTGACTCCAGAGCCATCCCCCATACCCCATTAAACACCACCAGTGGCTTGACTTCCTTCAGGCAACTACAGAGATGCCCCGAGAACACTGTCCCAAGGCTAGAGGAATACGAACTTCAGCACAGCAACTCGAGGAATGCTCCGTGTACCCCAAATCGTTTCGAGGTGAGAGCTGATTCCATGGCTTAGGCTCAAGACATATGCCAACTTTCCAGAAGCACCTCAAGCGGAGGATTCTCTCAGCAATAGGTATGTTGGAGGGACCCCCACTTTGCTGCCTCAAGTGGAATATACAGCGAGAAGCCCTAACTTGAAAGGAGGCCGGATTTCCTTGCAGTGGCTTGAATACAGGCTCGTCTTTCATCTCACAGCATGAAGGGATGTCTGAATCCCCTGTGGAGACCTTAGAGAAAGCTCTAGGTCCCTGCCTCATTTTGACGGAATGCCTCACATCCCGTTCACACTTCGAGAGGCACGCGGAATTCACTGCTTCAAAAGTTGATGATGCCTGACTCGTCTTGAATATTGATAGGAATCCCAAAATCCCTGTGGCTATTTGAAAGGTTCCTTGGGTGTCCTGCCTCACCTCGAGAAGCGTCCCTTGTGCCTGCCAAGCCTCGAAGAGATTCCTGAGCTGTCCCTCGTTACTGGACAGGAGTCCTGACGTCACTGAATAAACAGGAGTTTTTAAGGGCCATCCCCGCTGTAACCCGAGTACATACCCCAGGTCCCCGCCGCAAGTCGAGAAAAACCATGAGACTTTCCCCTAGTGGCGAGATGAGGCCCGATTCTCCTGCAGTGCATGCAGAGCAATTCCGTGATCCCCATCAAACAAGTCAGGACCTTCGACTTGCTTAATGGATCTCGAGACAGTCCCCAAGAATACTGTCACATGTCTAGACGGATCCTGAGGTCACCCCATCAACACAAAGCAGCACCATGTGCCCCACATCAACTCGAGATAATGCCCGATTCCCCTGCATTGACTCCAGAGCCATCCCCCGTTCCACATTAAACACCACCAGTGGCTTGACTTCCTTCAGACAACTCCAGAGATGCCCTGAGAACACTGTCCCAAGTCTAGAGGAACACCATCTTCAGCACAGCAACTCGAGGAATGCTCCGTGTACCCCAAATCGTCTCGAGATGAGAGCTGCTTCCCTGGCTTAGGCTCAAGACGTATGCCAACTTTCCAGAAGCACCTCAAGGGGAGGCTTCTCTCAGCAATAGGAATGTTGGAGGGACCCCCAGTTTGCTGCCTCAAGTGGAATATGCAGCGAGAAGCCCTAACTTGAAAGGAGGCCGGGTTTCCTTGCAGTGTCTTGAATACAGGCTCGTTTTTCATCTCACAACGGGAAGGAATGTCTGAATCCCCTGTGGAGTCCTTAGCGAAAGCCCTAGGTCCCTGCCTCATTTTGACGGATTGCCTCACATCCCGTTGACACCTCGAGAGGCACACGGAGTTCACTGCTTCAAATATGACGATGCCTGACTCCTCCTGAACATTCATAGGAATCCCAAAATCACTGTGGCTACAGAAAAGGGTTCTTGTGTGCCCTGCCTCACCTCGAGAAGCATCCCTTTTGCCCTGCCAAGGCTCGAAAAGATTCCTGAGGTGTCCCTCATTACTAGACAGAAGTCATGACGTCACTGAATAAACACGTGTTTTCAAGGGCCAAGCCCGCCATAACTCGAGAACATACCCCATGTACCGCCGAAACTCGAGAAAAACCTTGAGACTTCCCCTAGATGCGATATGAGGCCTGATTCCCTGCAGTCCATGCAGAGCATTCCCGTGATCCCAATCAAGCAAGTCAGCAGCTTCGAATTGCTTAATGGATCTCGAGAGAGTCCCCAGGAACACTGTCACAAGTCTAGACAGACCCTGACATCACCCCAGCAAAGCAAAGCAGGTCCAAGTACCCCACATCACCTCGAGTTGAGGCCCGATTCCCATGCATTGACTCCAGAGCCATTCCCCGTACCCCATTAAACACCACCAGTGGCTTGACTTCCTTCAGGCAACTACAGAGATGCCCCGAGAACACTGTCCCAAGTCTAGAGGAATACGAACTTCAGCACAGCAACTCGAGGAATGCTCCGTGTACCCCAAATCGTTTCGAGGTGAGAGCTGATTCCATGGCTTAGGCTCAAGACGTATGCCAACTTTCCCTAAGCCCCTCAAGCGGAGGATTCTCTCAGAAATAGGTATGTTGGAGGGACCCCCACTTTGCTGCCTCAAGTGGAATATACAGCGAGAAGCCCTAACTTGAAAGGAGGCCGGATTTCCTTGCAGTGTCTTGAATACAGGCTCGTCTTTCATCTCACAACCGGAAGGGATGTCTGAATCCCCTGTGTAGAACTTAGAGAAAGCCCTAGGTCCCTGCCTCATTTTGACGGATTGCCTCACATCCCGTTGACACCTCGAGAGGCACGCGGAATTCACTGCTTCAAAAGGTGATGATGCCTGACTCGTCTTGAGTATTGATAGGAATCCCAAAATCCCTGTGGCTATTTGAAAGGTTCCTTGGGTGTCCTGCCTCACCTCGAGAAGCGTCCCTTGTGCCTGCCAAGCCTCGAAGAGATTCCTGAGCTGTCCCTCGTTACTGGACAGGAGTCCTGACGTCACTGAATAAACAGGAGTTTTTAAGGGCCATCCCCGCTGTAACCCGAGTACATACCCCAGGTCCCCGCCGCAAGTCGAGAAAAACCATGAGACTTTCCCCTAGTGGCGAGATGAGGCCCGATTCTCCTGCAGTGCATGCAGAGCAATTCCGTGATCCCCATCAAACAAGTCAGGACCTTCGACTTGCTTAATGGATCTCGAGACAGTCCCCAAGAATACTGTCACATGTCTAGACGGATCCTGAGGTCACCCCATCAACGCAAAGCAGCACCATGTGCCCCACATCAACTCGAGATAATGACCGATTCCCCTGCGTTGACTCCAGAGCCATCCCCCGTTCCCCATTAAACTCCACCAGTGGCTTGACTTCCTTCAGACAACTCCAGAGATGCCCTGAGAACACTGTCCCAAGTCTAGAGGAACACCATCTTCAGCACAGCAACTCGAGGAATGCTCCGTGTACCCCAAATCGTCTCGAGATGAGAGCTGATTCCCTTTCTTAGGCTCAAGACGTATGCCAAATTTCCGAAAGCACCTCAAGGGGAGGCTTCTCTCAGTAATAGGTATGTTGGAGGGACCCCCAGTTTGCTGCCTCAAGTGGAATATGCAGCGAGAAGCCCTAACTTGAAAGGAGGCCGGGTTTCCTTGCAGTGTCTTGAATACAGGTTCGTCTTTCATCTCACAACGGGAAGGAATGTCTGAATCCCCTGTGGAGACCTTAGCGAAAGCCCTAGGTCCCTGCCTCATTTTGACGGATTGCCTCACATCCCGTTGACACCTCGAGAGGCACCCGGAGTTCACTGCTTCAAATGTGACGATGCCTGACTCCTCCTGAACATTGGTAGGAATCCCAAAATCACTGTGGCTACAGGAAAGGGTTCTTGTGTGCCCTGCCTCACCTCGAGAAGCATCCCTTTTGCCCTGCCAAGGCTCGAAAAGATTCCTGAGGTGTCCCTCATTACTAGACAGGAGTCATGACGTCACTGAATAAACACGTGTTTTCAAGGGCCAAGCCCGCCATAACTCGAGAACATACCCCACGTACCGCCGCGACTCGAGAAAAACCATGAGACTTCCCCTAGATGCGATATGAGGCCTGATTCCCTGCAGTCCATGCAGAGCATTCCCGTGATCCCAATCAAGCAAGTCAGCAGGTTCGAATTGCTTAATGGATCTCGAGAGAGTCCCCAGGAACACTGTCACAAGTCTAGACAGACCCTGACATCACCCCAGCAAAGCAAAGCAGGTCCAAGTACCCCACATCACCTCGAGTTGAGGCCCGATTCCCATGCATTGATTCCAGAGCCATCCCCCATACCCCATTAAACAGCACCAGTGGCTTGACTTCCTTCAGGCAACTCCAGAGATGCCCCGAGAACACTTTCCCAAGTCTAGAGGAATACGAACTTCAGCACAGCAACTCGAGGAATGCTCCGTGTACCCCAAATCGTTTCGAGGTGAGAGCTGATTCCATGGCTTAGGCTCAACACATATGCCAACTTTCCAGAAGCACCTCAAGAGGAGGATTCTCTCAGCAATAGGTATGTTGGAGGGACCCCCACTTTGCTGCCTCAAGTGGAATATACAGCGAGAAGCCCTAACTTGAAAGGAGGCCGGATTTCCATGCAGTGGCTTGAATACAGGCTCGTCTTTCATCTCACAGCATGAAGGGATGTCTGAATCCCCTGTGGAGACCTTAGAGAAAGCTCTAGGTCCCTGCCTCATTTTGACGGAATGCCTCACATCCCGTTCACACTTCGAGAGGCACGCGGAATTCACTGCTTCAAAAGTTGATGATGCCTGACTCGCCTTGAATATTGATAGGAATCCCAAAATCCCTGTGGCTATTTGAAAGGTTCCTTGGGTGTCCTGCCTCACCTCGAGAAGCGTCCCTTGTGCCTGCCAAGCCTCGAAGAGTTTCCTGAGCTGTCCCTCGTTACTGGACAGGAGTCCTGACGTCACTGTATAAACAGGAGTTTTTAAGGGCCATCCCCGCTGTAACCCAAGTACATACCCCAAGTCCCCGCCGCAAGTCGAGAAAAACCATGAGACTTTCCCCTAGTGGCGAGATGAGGCCCGATTCTCCTGCAGTCCATGCAGAGCATTCCCGTGATCCCAATCAAGCAAGTCAGCAGCTTAGAATTGCTTAATGGATCTCGAGAGAGTCCCCAGGAACACTGTCACAAGTCTAGACAGACCCTGACATCACCCCAGCAAAGCAAAGCAGGTCCAAGTACCCCACATCACATCGAGTTGAGGCCCGATTCCCATGCATTGACTCCAGAGCCATCCCCCGTACCCCATTAAACACCACCAGTGGCTTGACTTCCTTCAGGCAACTACAGAGATGCCCCGAGAACACTGTCCCAAGTCTAGAGGAATACGAACTTCAGCACAGCAACTCGAGGAATGCTCCGTGTACCCCAAATCGTTTCGAGGTGAGAGCTGATTCCATGGCTTAGGCTCAAGACGTATGCCAACTTTCCAGAAGCAACTCAAGCGGAGGATTCTCTCAGCAATAGTTATGTTGGAGTTACTCCCACTTTGCTGCCTCAAGTGGAATATACAGCGAGAAGCCCTAACTTGAATGGAGGCCGGATTTCCTTGCAGTGTCTTGAATACAGGCTCGTCTTTCATCTCACAACCGGAAGGGATGTCTGAATCCCCTGTGGAGAACTTAGAGAAAGCCCTAGGTCCCTGCCTCATTTTGACGGATTGCCTCACATCCCGTTGACACCTCGAGAGGCACGCGGAGTTCACTGCTTCAAAAGGTGATGATGCCTGACACGTCTTGAATATTGATAGGAATCCCAAAATCACTGTGGCTACAGGAAAGGGTTCTTGTGTGCCCTGCCTCACCTCGAGAAGCATCCCTTTTGCCCTGCCAAGGCTCGAAAAGATTCCTGAGGTGTCCCTCATTACTAGACAGGAGTCATGACGTCACTGAATAAACACGTGTTTTCAAGGGCCAAGCCCGCCATAACTCGAGAACATACCCCACGTACCGCCGCGACTCGAGAAAAACCATGAGACTTCCCCTAGATGCGATATGAGGCCTGATTCCCTGCAGTCCATGCAGAGCATTCCCGTGATCCCAATCAAGCAAGTCAGCAGGTTCGAATTGCTTAATGGATCTCGAGAGAGTCCCCAGGAACACTGTCACAAGTCTAGACAGACCCTGACATCACCCCAGCAAAGCAAAGCAGGTCCAAGTACCCCACATCACATCGAGTTGAGGCCCGATTCCCATGCATTGACTCCAGAGCCATCCCCCGTACCCCATTAAACACCACTAGTGGCTTGACTTCCTTCAGGCAACTACAGAGATGCCCCGAGAACACTGTCCCAAGTCTAGAGGAATACGAACTTCAGCACAGCAACTCGAGGAATGTTCCGTGTACCCCAAATCGTTTCGAGGTGAGAGCTGATTCCATGGCTTAGGCTCAAGACGTATGCCAACTTTCCAGAAGACCCTCAAGAGGAGGCTTCACTCAGCAATAGGTATGTGGGAGGGACCCCGAATTTGCTGCCTCAAGTGGAATATACAGCGAGAAGCCCTAACTTGAAAGGAGGCCGGATTTCCTTGCAGTGGCTTGAATACAGGCTCGTCTTTCATCTCACAGCATGAAGGGATGTCTGAATCCCCTGTGGAGACCTTAGAGAAAGCTCTAGGTCCCTGCCTCATTTTGACGGAATGCCTCACATCCCGTTCACACTTCGAGAGGCACGCGGAATTCACTGCTTCAAAAGGTGATGATGCCTGACTCGTCTTGAATATTGATAGGAATCCCAAAATCCCTGTGGCTATTTGAAAGGTTCCTTGGGTGTCCTGCCTCACCTCGAGAAGCGTCCCTTGTGCCTGCCAAGCCTCGAAGAGATTCCTGAGCTGTCCCTCGTTACTGGACAGGAGTCCTGACGTCACTGAATAAACAGGAGTTTTTAAGGGCCATCCCCGCTGTAACCCGAGTACATACCCCAGGTCCCCGCCGCAAGTCGAGAAAAACCATGAGACTTTCCCCTAGTGGCGAGATGAGGCCCGATTCTCCTGCAGTGCATGCAGAGCAATTCCGTGATCCCCATCAAACAAGTCAGGACCTTCGACTTGCTTAATGGATCTCGAGACAGTCCCCAAGAATACTGTCACATGTCTAGACGGATCCTGAGGTCACCCCATCAACGCAAAGCAGCACCATGTGCCCCACATCAACTCGAGATAATGCCCGATTCCCCTGCATTGACTCCAGAGCCATCCCCCGTTCCCCATTAAACACCACCAGTGGCTTGACTTCCTTCAGACAACTCCAGAGATGCCCTGAGAACACTGTCCCAAGTCTAGAGGAACACCATCTTCAGCACAGCAACTCGAGGAATGCTCCGTGTACCCCAAATCGTCTCGAGATGAGAGCTGATTCCCTGGCTTAGGCTCAAGACGTATGCCAACTTTCCAGAAGCACCTCAAGGGGAGGCTTCTCTCAGCAATAGGTATGTTGGATGGACCCCCAGTTTGCTGCCTCAAGTGGAATATGCAGCGAGAAGCCCTAACTTGAAACGAGGCCGGGTTTCCTTGCAGTGTCTTGAATACAGGCTCGTCTTTCATCTCACAACGGGAAGGAATGTCTGAATCCCCTGTGGAGACCTTAGCGAAAGCCCTAGGTCCCTGCCTCATTTTGACGGATTGCCTCACATCCCGTTGACACCTCGAGAGGCACACGGAGTTCACTGCTTCAAATGTGACGATGCCTGACTCCTCCTGAACATTGATAGGAATCCCAAAATCACTGTGGCTACAGGAAAGGGTGCTTGTGTGCCCTGCCTCACCTCGAGAAGCATCCCTTTTGCCCTGCCAAGGCTCGAAAAGATTCCTGAGGTGTCCCTCATTACTAGACAGGAGTCATGACGTCACTGAATAAACACGTGTTTTCAAGGGCCAAGCCCGCCATAACTCGAGAACATACCCCACGTACCGCCGCGACTCGAGAAAAACCAGGAGACTTCCCCTAGATGCGATATGAGGCCTGATTCCCTGCAGTCCATGCAGAGCATTCCCGTGATCCCAATCAAGCAAGTCAGCAGCTTCGAATTGCTTAATGGATCTCGAGAGAGTCCCCAGGAACACTGTCACAAGTCTAGACAGACCCTGACATCACCCCAGCAAAGCAAAGCAGGTCCAAGTACCCCACATCACATCGAGTTGAGGCCCGATTCCCATGCATTGACTCCAGAGCCATCCCCCGTACCCCATTAAACACCACCAGTGGCTTGACTTCCTTCAGGCAACTACAGAGATGCCCCGAGAACACTGTCCCAAGTCTAGAGGAATACGAACTTCAGCACAGCAACTCGAGGAATGCTCCGTGTACCCCAAATCGTTTCGAGGTGAGAGCTGATTCCATGAATTAGGCTCAAGACGTATGCCAACTTTCCAGAAGACCCTCAAGAGGAGGCTTCTCTCAGCAATAGGTATGTGGGAGGGACCCCGAATTTGCTGCCTCAAGTGGAATATACAGCGAGAAGCCCTAACTTGAAAGGAGGCCGGATTTCCTTGCAGTGGCTTGAATACAGGCTCGTCTTTCATCTCACAGCATGAAGGGATGTCTGAATCCCCTGTGGAGACCTTAGAGAAAGCTCTAGGTCCCTGCCTCATTTTGACGGAATGCCTCACATCCCGTTCACACTTCGAGAGGCACGCGGAATTCACTGCTTCAAAAAGTGATGATGCCTGACTCGTCTTGAATATTGATAGGAATCCCAAAATCCCTGTGGCTATTTGAAAGGTTCCTTGTGTGTCCTGCCTCACCTCGAGAAGCGTCCCTTGTGCCTGCCAAGCCTCGAAGAGATTCCTGAGCTGTCCCTCGTTACTGGACAGGAGTCCTGACGTCACTGAATAAACAGGAGTTTTTAAGGGCCATCCCCGCTGTAACCCGAGTACATACCCCAGGTCCCCGCCGCAAGTCGAGAAAAACCATGAGACTTTCCCCTAGTGGCGAGATGAGGCCCGATTCTCCTGCAGTGCATGCAGAGCAATTCCGTGATCCCCATCAAACAAGTCAGGACCTTCGACTTGCTTAATGGATCTCGAGACAGTCCCCAAAAATACGGTCACATGTCTAGACGGATCCTGAGGTCACCCCATCAACGCAAAGCAGCACCATGTGCCCCACATCAACTCGAGATAATGCCCGATTCCCCTGCATTGACTCCAGAGCCATCCCCCGTTCCACATTAAACACCACCAGTGGCTTGACTTCCTTCAGACAACTCCAGAGATGCCCTGAGAATACTGTCCCAAGTCTAGAGGAACACCATCTTCAGCACAGCAACTCGAGGAATGCTCCGTGTACCGCAAATCGTCTCGAGATGAGAGCTGATTCCCTGGCTTAGGCTCAAGACCTATGCCAACTTTCCAGAAGCACCTCAAGGGGAGGCTTCTCTCAGCAATAGGTATGTTGGATGGACCCCCAGTTTGCTGCCTCAAGTGGAATATGCAGCGAGAAGCCCTAACTTGAAAGGAGGCCGGGTTTCCTTGCAGTGTCTTGAATACAGGCTCGTCTTTCATCTCACAACGGGAAGGAATGTCTGAATCCCCTGTGGAGACCTTAGCGAAAGCCCTAGGTCCCTGCCTCATTTTGACGGATTGCCTCACATCCCGTTGACACCTCGAGAGGCACACGGAGTTCACTGCTTCAAATGTGACGATGCCTGACTCCTCCTGAACATTGATAGGAATCCCAAAATCACTGTGGCTACAGGAAAGGGTTCTTGTGTGCCCTGCCTCACCTCGAGAAGCATCCCTTTTGCCCTGCCAAGGCTCGAAAAGATTCCTGAGGTGTCCCTCATTACTAGACAGGAGTCATGATGTCACTGAATAAACACGTGTTTTCAAGGGCCAAGCCCGCCATAACTCGAGAACATACCCCACGTACCGCCGCGACTCGAGAAAAACCATGAGACTTCCCCTAGATGCGATATGAGGCCTGATTCCCTGCAGTCCATGCAGAGCATTCCCGTGATCCCAATCAAGCAAGTCAGCAGGTTCGAATTGCTTAATGGATCTCGAGAGAGTCCCCAGGAACACTGTCACAAGTCTAGACAGACCCTGACATCACCCCAGCAAAGTAAAGCAGGTTCAAGTACCCCACATCACCTCGAGTTGAGGCCCGATTCCCATGCATTGACTCCAGAGCCATCCCCCGTACCCCATTAAACACCACCAGTGGCTTGACTTCCTTCAGGCAACTCCAGAGATGCCCCGAGAACACTGTCCCAAGTCTAGAGGAATACGAAGTTCAGCACAGCAACTCGAGGAATGCTCCGTGTACCCCAAATCGTTTCGAGGTGAGAGCTGATTCCATGGCTTAGGCTCAAGACGTATGCCAACTTTCCAGAAGCCCCTCAAGCGGAGGATTCTCTCAGCAATAGGTATGTTGGAGGGACCCCCACTTTGCTGCCTCAAGTGGAATATACAGCGAGAAGCCCTAACTTGAAAGGAGGCCGGATTTCCTTGCAGTGTCTTGAATACAGGCTCGTCTTTCATCTCACAACCAGAAGGGATGTCTGAATCCCCTGTGGAGAACTTAGAGAAAGCCCTAGGTCCCTGCCTCATTTTGACGGATTGCCTCACATCCCGTTGACACCTCGAGAGGCACGCGGAATTCACTGCTTCAAAAGGTGATGATGCCTGACTCGTCTTGAATATTGATAGGAATTCCAAAATCCCTGTGGCTATTTGAAAGGTTCCTTGGGTGTCCTGCCTCACCTCGAGAAGCGTCCCTTGTGCCTGCCAAGCCTCGAAGAGATTCCTGAGCTGTCCCTCATTACTGGACAGGAGTCCTGACGTCACTGAATAAACAGGAGTTTTTAAGGGCCATCCCCGCTGTAACCCGAGTACATACACCAGGTCCCCGCCGCAAGTCGAGAAAAACCATGAGACTTTCCCCTAGTGGCGAGATGAGGCCCGATTCTCCTGCAGTGCATGCAGAGCAATTCCGTGATACCCATCAAACAAGTCAGGACCTTCGCCTTGCTTAATGGATCTCGAGACAGTCCCCAAGAATACGGTCACATGTCTAGATGGATCCTGAGGTCACCCCATCAACGCAAAGCAGCACCATGTGCCCCACATCAACTCGAGATAATGCCCGATTCCCGTGCATTGACTGCAGAGCCATCCCCCGTTCCACATTAAACACCACCAGTGGCTTGACTTCCTTCAGACAACTCCAGAGATGCCCTGAGAACACTGTCCCAAGTCTAGAGGAACACCATCTTCAGCACAGCAACTCGAGGAATGCTCCGTGTACACCAAATCGTCTCGAGATGAGAGCTGATTCCCTGGCTTAGGCTCAAGACGTATGCCAACTTTCCAGAAGCACCTCAAGGGGAGGCTTCTCTCAGCAATAGGTATGTTGGAGGGACCCCCAGTTTGCTGCCTCAAGTGGAATATGCAGCGAGAAGCCCTAACTTGAAAGGAGGCCGGGTTTCCTTGCAGTGTCTTGAATACAGGCTCGTCTTTCATCTCACAACGGGAAGGAATGTCTGAATCCCCTGTGGAGACCTTAGCGAAAGCCCTAGGTCCCTGCCTCATTTTGACGGATTGCCTCACATCCCGTTGACACCTCGAGAGGCACCCGGAGTTCACTGCTTCAAATGTGATGATGCCTGACTCCTCCTGAACATTGATAGGAATCCCCAAATCACTGTGGCTACTGGAAAGGGTTCTTGTGTGCCCTGCCTCACCTCGAGAAGCATCCCTTTTGCCCTGCCAAGGCTCGAAAAGATTCCTGAGGTGTCCCTCATTACTAGACAGGAGTCATGACGTCACTGAATAAACACGTGTTTTCAAGGGCCAAGCCCGCCATAACTCGAGAACATACCCCACGTACCGCCAGGACTCGAGAAAAACCATGAGACTTCCCCTAGATGCGATATGAGGACTGATTCCCTGCAGTCCATGCAGAGCATTCCCGTGATCCGCATCAAGCAAGTCAGCAGCTTCGAATTGCTTAATGGATCTCGAGAGAGTCCCCAGGAACACTGTCACAAGTCTAGACAGACCCTGACATCACCCCAGCAAAGCAAAGCAGGTCCAAGTACCCCACATCACCTCGAGTTGAGGCCCGATTCCCATGCATTGACTCCAGAGCCATCCCCCGTACCCCATTAAACACCACCAGTGGCTTGACTTCCTTCAGGCAAATCCAGAGATGCCCCGAGAACACTGTCCCAAGTCTAGAGGAATACGAACTTCAGCACAGCAACTCGAGGAATGCTCTGTGTACCCCAAATCGTTTCGAGGTGAGAGCTGATTCCATGGCTTAGGCTCAAGACGTATGCCAACTTTCCAGAAGCACCTCAAGCAGAGGATTCTCTCAGCAATAGGTATGTTGGAGGGACCCCCACTTTGCTGCCTCAAGTGGAATATACCGCGAGAAGCCCTAACTTGAAAGGAGGCCGGATTTCCTTGCAGTGTCTTGAATACAGGCTCGTCTTTCATCTCACTACCGGAAGGGATGTCTGAATCCCCTGTGTAGAACTTAGAGAAAGCCCTAGGTCCCTGCCTCATTTTGACGGATTGCCTCACATCCCGTTGACACCTCGAGAGGCACGCGGAGTTCACTGCTTCAAAAGGTGATGATGCCTGACTCGTCTTGAATATTGATAGGAATCCCAAAATCCCTGTGGCTATTTGAAAGGTTCCTTGGGTGTCCTGCCTCACCTCGAGAAGCGTCCCTTGTGCCTGCCAAGCCTCGAAGAGATTCCTGAGCTGTCCCTCGTTACTGGACAGGAGTTCTGACGTCACTGAATAAACAGGAGTTTTTCAGGGCCATCCCCGCTGTAACCCGAGTACATACCCCAGGTCCCCGCCGCAAGTCGAGAAAAACCATGAGACTTTCCCCTAGTGGCGAGATGAGGCCCGATTCTCATGCAGTGCATGCAGAGCAATTCTGAGATCCCCATCAAACAAGTCAGGACCTTCGACTTGCTTAATGGATCTCGAGACAGTCCCCAAGAATACTGTCACATGTCTAGACGGATCCTGAGGTCACCCCATCAACGCAAAGCAGCACCATGTGCCCCACATCGACTCGAGATAATGCCCGATTCCCCTGCATTGACTCCAGAGCCATCCCCCGTTCCACATTAAACACCACCAGTGGCTTGACTTCCTTCAGACAACTCCAGAGATGTACTAGGAACACTGTCCCAAGTCTAGAGGAACACCATCTTCAGCACAGCAACTCGAGGAATGCTCCGTGTACCCCAAATCATCTCGAGATGAGAGCTGATTCCCTGGCTTAGGCTCAAGACGTATGCCAACTTTCCAGAAGCACCTCAAGGGGAGGCTTCTCTCAGCAATGGGTATGTTGGAGGACCCCCAGTTTGCTGCCTCAAGTGGAATATGCAGCGAGAAGCCCTAACTTGAAAGGAGGCCGGGTTTCCTTGCAGTGTCTTGAATACAGGCTCGTCTTTCATCTCACAACGGGAAGGAATGTCTGAATCCCCTGTGCAGACCTTAGCGAAAGCCCTAGGTCCCTGCCTCATTTTGACGGATTGCCTCACATCCCGTTGACACCTCGAGAGGCACCCGGAGTTCACTGCTTCAAATGTGACGATGCCTGACTCCTCCTGAACATTGATAGGAATCCCAAAATCACTGTGGCTACAGGAAAGGGTTCTTGTGTGCCCTGCCTCACTTCGAGAAGCATCCCTTTTGCCCTGCCAAGGCTCGAAAAGATTCCTGAGGTGTCCCTCATTACTAGACAGGAGTCATGACGTCACTGAATAAACACGTGTTTTCAAGGGCCAAGCCCGCCATAACTCGAGAACATACCCCACGTACCGCCGCGACTCGAGAAAAACCATGAGACTTCCCCTAGATGCGATATGAGGCCTGATTCCCTGCAGTCCATGCAGAGCATTCCCGTGATCCCAATCAAGCAAGTCAGCAGCTTCGAATTGCTTAATGGATCTCGAGAGAGTCCCCAGGAACACTGGCACAAGTCTAGACAGACCCTGACATCATCCCAGCAAAGCAAAGCAGGTCCAGGTACCCCACATCACCTCGAGTTGAGGCCCGATTCCCATGCATTGACTCCAGAGCCATCCCCCGTACCCCATTAAACACCACCAGTGGCTTGACTTCCTTCAGGCAACTCCAGAGATGCCCCGAGAACACTGTCCCAAGTCTAGAGGAATACGAACTTCAGCACAGCAACTCGAGGAATGCTCGGTGTACCCCAAATCGTTTCGAGGTGAGAGCTGATTCCATGGCTTAGGCTCAAGACGTATGCCAACTTTCCAGAAGCACCTCAAGCGGAGGATTCTCTCAGCAATAGATATGTTGGAGGGACCCCCACTTTGCTGCCTCAAGTGGAATATACAGCAAGAAGCCCTAACTTGAAAGGAGGCCGGATTTCCTTGCAGTGTCTTGCATACAGGCTCGTCTTTCATCTCACAACCGGAAGGGATGTCTGAATCCCCTGTGTAGAACTAGAGAAAGCCCTAGGTCCCTGCCTCATTTTGACGGATTGCCTCACATCCCGTTGACACCTCGAAAGGCACGCGGAGTTCACTGCTTCAAAAGGTGATGATGCCTGACTCGTCTTGAATATTGATAGGAATCCCAAAATCCCTGTGGCTATTTGAAAGGTTCCTTGGGTGTCCTGCCTCACCTCGAGAAGCGTCCCTTGTGCCTGCCAAGCCTCGAAGAGATTCCTGAGCTGTCCCTCGTTACTGGACAGGAGTCCTGACGTCACTGAATAAACAGGAGTTTTTAAGGGCCATCCCCGCTGTAAACCGAGTACATACCCCAGGTCCCCGCCGCAAGTCGAGAAAAACCATGAGACTTTCCCCTAGTGGCGAGATGAGGCCCGATTCTCCTGCAGTGCATGCAGAGCAATTCCGTGATCCCCATCAAACAAGTCAGGACCTTCGACTTGCTTAATGGATCTCGAGACAGTCCCCAAGAATACGGTCACATGTCTAGATGGATCCTGAGGTCACCCCATCAACGCAAAGCAGCACCATGTGCCCCACATCAACTCGAGATAATGCCCGATTCCCGTGCATTGACTGCAGAGCCATCGCCCGTTCCACATTAAACACCACCAGTGGCTTGACTTCCTTCAGACAACTCCAGAGATGCCCTGAGAACACTGTCCCAAGTCTAGAGGAACACCATCTTCAGCACAGCAACTCGAGGAATGCTCCGTGTACACCAAATCGTCTCGAGATGAGAGCTGATTCCCTGGCTTAGGCTCAAGACGTATGCCAACTTTCCAGAAGCACCTCAAGGGGAGGCTTCTCTCAGCAATAGGTATGTTGGAGGGACCCCCAGTTTGCTGCCTCAAGTGGAATATGCAGCGAGAAGCCCTAACTTGAAAGGAGGCCGGGTTTCCTTGCAGTGTCTTGAATACAGGCTCGTCTTTCATCTCACAACGGGAAGGAATGTCTGAATCCCCTGTGGAGACCTTAGCGAAAGCCCTAGGTCCCTGCCTCATTTTGACGGATTGCCTCACATCCCGTTGACACCTCGAGAGGCACCCGGAGTTCACTGCTTCAAATGTGATGATGCCTGACTCCTCCTGAACATTGATAGGAATCCCCAAATCACTGTGGCTACTGGAAAGGGTTCTTGTGTGCCCTGCCTCACCTCGAGAAGCATCCCTTTTGCCCTGCCAAGGCTCGAAAAGATTCCTGAGGTGTCCCTCATTACTAGACAGGAGTCATGACGTCACTGAATAAACACGTGTTTTCAAGGGCCAAGCCCGCCATAACTCGAGAACATACCCCACGTACCGCCGCGACTCGAGAAAAACCATGAGACTTCCCCTAGATGCGATATGAGGACTGATTCCCTGCAGTCCATGCAGAGCATTCCCGTGATCCGAATCAAGCAAGTCAGCAGCTTCGAATTGCTTAATGGATCTCGAGAGAGTCCCCAGGAACACTGTCACAAGTCTAGACAGACCCTGACATCACCCCAGCAAAGCAAAGCAGGTCCAAGTACCCCACATCACCTCGAGTTGAGGCCCGATTCCCATGCATTGACTCCAGAGCCATCCCCCGTACCCCATTAAACACCACCAGTGGCTTGACTTCCTTCAGGCAAATCCAGAGATGCCCCGAGAACACTGTCCCAAGTCTAGAGGAATACGAACTTCAGCACAGCAACTCGAGGAATGCTCTGTGTACCCCAAATCGTTTCGAGGTGAGAGCTGATTCCATGGCTTAGGCTCAAGACGTATGCCAACTTTCCAGAAGCACCTCAAGCAGAGGATTCTCTCAGCAATAGGTAAGTTGGAGGGACCCCCACTTTGCTGCCTCAAGTGGAATATACCGCGAGAAGCCCTAACTTGAAAGGAGGCCGGATTTCCTTGCAGTGTCTTGAATACAGGCTCGTCTTTCATCTCACTACCGGAAGGGATGTCTGAATCCCCTGTGTAGAACTTAGAGAAAGCCCTAGGCCCCTGCCTCATTTTGACGGATTGCCTCACATCCCGTTGACACCTCGAGAGGCACGCGGAGTTCACTGCTTCAAAAGGTGATGATGCCTGACTCGTCTTGAATATTGATAGGAATCCCAAAATCCCTGTGGCTATTTGAAAGGTTCCTTGGGTGTCCTGCCTCACCTCGAGAAGCGTCCCTTGTGCCTGCCAAGCCTCGAAGAGATTCCTGAGCTGTCCCTCGTTACTGGACAGGAGTCCTGACGTCACTGAATAAACAGGAGTTTTTCAGGGCCATCCCCGCTGTAACCCGAGTACATACCCCAGGTCCCCGCCGCAAGTCGAGAAAAACCATGAGACTTTCCCCTAGTGGCGAGATGAGGCCCGATTCTCATGCAGTGCATGCAGAGCAATTCTGAGATCCCCATCAAACAAGTCAGGACCTTCGACTTGCTTAATGGATCTCGAGACAGTCCCCAAGAATACTGTCACATGTCTAGACGGATCCTGAGGTCACCCCATCAACGCAAAGCAGCACCATGTGCCCCACATCGACTCGAGATAATGCCCGATTCCCCTGCATTGACTCCAGAGCCATCCCCCGTTCCACATTAAACACCACCAGTGGCTTGACTTCCTTCAGACAACTCCAGAGATGTACTAGGAACACTGTCCCAAGTCTAGAGGAACACCATCTTCAGCACAGCAACTCGAGGAATGCTCCGTGTACCCCAAATCATCTCGAGATGAGAGCTGATTCCCTGGCTTAGGCTCAAGACGTATGCCAACTTTCCAGAAGCACCTCAAGGGGAGGCTTCTCTCAGCAATGGGTATGTTGGAGGGACCCCCAGTTTGCTGCCTCAAGTGGAATATGCAGCGAGAAGCCCTAACTTGAAAGGAGGCCGGGTTTCCTTGCAGTGTCTTGAATACAGGCTCGTCTTTCATCTCACAACGGGAAGGAATGTCTGAATCCCCTGTGCAGACCTTAGCGAAAGCCCTAGGTCCCTGCCTCATTTTGACGGATTGCCTCACATCCCGTTGACACCTCGAGAGGCACCCGGAGTTCACTGCTTCAAATGTGACGATGCCTGACTCCTCCTGAACATTGATAGGAATCCCAAAATCACTGTGGCTACAGGAAAGGGTTCTTGTGTGCCCTGCCTCACTTCGAGAAGCATCCCTTTTGCCCTGCCAAGGCTCGAAAAGATTCCTGAGGTGTCCCTCATTACTAGACAGGAGTCATGACGTCACTGAATAAACACGTGTTTTCAAGGGCCAAGCCCGCCATAACTCGAGAACATACCCCACGTACCGCCGCGACTCGAGAAAAACCATGAGACTTCCCCTAGATGCGATATGAGGCCTGATTCCCTGCAGTCCATGCAGAGCATTCCCGTGATCCCAATCAAGCAAGTCAGCAGCTTCGAATTGCTTAATGGATCTCGAGAGAGTCCCCAGGAACACTGGCACAAGTCTAGACAGACCCTGACATCATCCCAGCAAAGCAAAGCAGGTCCAGGTACCCCACATCACCTCGAGTTGAGGCCCGATTCCCATGCATTGACTCCAGAGCCATCCCCCGTACCCCATTAAACACCACCAGTGGCTTGACTTCCTTCAGGCAACTCCAGAGATGCCCCGAGAACACTGTCCCAAGTCTAGAGGAATACGAACTTCAGCACAGCAACTCGAGGAATGCTCGGTGTACCCCAAATCGTTTCGAGGTGAGAGCTGATTCCATGGCTTAGGCTCAAGACGTATGCCAACTTTCCAGAAGCACCTCAAGCGGAGGATTCTCTCAGCAATAGATATGTTGGAGGGACCCCCACTTTGCTGCCTCAAGTGGAATATACAGCAAGAAGCCCTAACTTGAAAGGAGGCCGGATTTCCTTGCAGTGTCTTGCATACAGGCTCGTCTTTCATCTCACAACCGGAAGGGATGTCTGAATCCCCTGTGTAGAACTTAGAGAAAGCCCTAGGTCCCTGCCTCATTTTGACGGATTGCCTCACATCCCGTTGACACCTCGAAAGGCACGCGGAGTTCACTGCTTCAAAAGGTGATGATGCCTGACTCGTCTTGAATATTGATAGGAATCCCAAAATCCCTGTGGCTATTTGAAAGGTTCCTTGGGTGTCCTGCCTCACCTCGAGAAGCGTCCCTTGTGCCTGCCAAGCCTCGAAGAGATTCCTGAGCTGTCCCTCGTTACTGGACAGGAGTCCTGACGTCACTGAATAAACAGGAGTTTTTAAGGGCCATCCCCGCTGTAACCCGAGTACATACCCCAGGTCCCCGCCGCAAGTCGAGAAAAACCATGAGACTTTCCCCTAGTGGCGAGATGAGGCCCGATTCTCATGCAGTGCATGCAGAGCAATTCTGAGATCCCCATCAAACAAGTCAGGACCTTCGACTTGCTTAATGGATCTCGAGACAGTCCCCAAGAATACGGTCACATGTCTAGACGGATCCTGAGGTCACCCCATCAACGCAAAGCAGCACCATGTGCCCCACATCGACTCGAGATAATGCCCGATTCCCCTGCATTGACTCCAGAGCCATCCCCCGTTCCACATTAAACACCACCAGTGGCTTGACTTCCTTCAGACAACTCCAGAGATGCCCTAGGAACACTGTCCCAAGTCTAGAGGAACACCATCTTCAGCACAGCAACTCGAGGAATGCTCCGTGTACCCCAAATCGTCTCGAGATGAGAGCTGATTCCCTGGCTTAGGCTCAAGACGTATGCCAACTTTCCAGAAGCACCTCAAGGGGAGGCTTCTCTCAGCAATGGGTATGTTGGAGGGACCCCCAGTTTGCTGCCTCAAGTGGAATATGCAGCGAGAAGCCCTAACTTGAAAGGAGGCCGGGTTTCCTTGCAGTGTCTTGAATACAGGCTCGTCTTTCATCTCACAACGGGAAGGAATGTCTGAATCCCCTGTGGAGACCTTAGCGAAAGCCCTAGGTCCCTGCCTCATTTTGACGGATTGCCTCACATCCCGTTGACACCTCGAGAGGCACCCGGAGTTCACTGCTTCAAATGTGACGATGCCTGACTCCTCCTGAACATTGATAGGAATCCCAAAATCACTGTGGCTACAGGAAAGGGTTCTTGTGTGCCCTGCCTCACCTCGAGAAGCATCCCTTTTGCCCTGCCAAGGCTCGAAAAGATTCCTGAGGTGTCCCTCATTACTAGACAGGAGTCATGACGTCACTGAATAAACACGTGTTTTCAAGGGCCAAGCCCGCCATAACTCGAGAACATACCCCATGTACCGCCGCGACTCGAGAAAAACCATGAGACTTCCCCTAGATGCGATATGAGGCCTGATTCCCTGCAGTCCATGCAGAGCATTCCCGTGATCCCAATCAAGCAAGTCAGCAGCTTCGAATTGCTTAATGGATCTCGAGAGAGTCCCCAGGAACACTGTCACAAGTCTAGACAGACCCTGACATCATCCCAGCAAAGCAAAGCAGGTCCAGGTACCCCACATCACCTCGAGTTGAGGCCCGATTCCCATGCATTGACTCCAGAGCCATCCCCCGTACCCCATTAAACAACACCAGTGGCTTGCCTTCCTTCAGGCAACTCCAGAGATGCCCCGAGAACACTGTCCCAAGTCTAGAGGAATACGAACTTCAGCACAGCAACTCGAGGAATGCTCCGTGTACCCCAAATCGTTTCGAGGTGAGAGCTGATTCCATGGCTTAGGCTCAAGACGTATGCCAGCTTTCCAGAAGCCCCTCAAGAGGAGGCTTCTCTCAGCAATAAGTATGTGGGAGGGACCCCGAATTTGCTGCCTCAAGTGGAATATACAGCGAGAAGCCCTAACTTGAAAGGAGGCTGGATTTCCTTGCAGTGGCTTGAATACAGGCTCGTCTTTCATCTCACAGCATGAAGGGATGTCTGAATCCCCTGTGGAGACCTTAGAGAAAGCTCTAGGTCCCTGCCTCATTTTGACGGAATGCCTCACATCCCTTTGACACTTCGAGAGGCACGCGGAATTCACTGCTTCAAAAGGTGATGATGCCTGACTCGTCTTGAATATTGATAGGAATCCCAAAATCCCTGTGGCTATTTGAAAGGTTCCTTGGGTGTCCTGCCTCACCTCGAGAAGCGTCCCTTTTGCCTGCCAAGCCTCGAAGAGATTCCTGAGCTGTCCCTCGTTACTGGACAGGAGTCCTGACGTCACTGAATAAACAGGAGTTTTTCAGGGCCATCCCCGCTGTAACCCGAGTACATACCCCAGGTCCCCGCCGCAAGTCGAGAAAAACCATGAGACTTTCCCCTAGTGGCGAGATGAGGCCCGATTCTCCTGCAGTGCATGCAGAGCAATTCCGTGATCCCCATCAAACAAGTCAGGACCTTCGACTTGCTTAATGGATCTCGAGACAGTCCCCAAGAATACTGTCAAATGTCTAGACGGATCCTGAGGTCACCCCATCAACGCAAAGCAGCACCATGTGCCCCACATCAACTCGAGATAATGCCCGATTCCCCTGCATTGACTCCAGAGCCATCCCCCGTTCCACATTAAACACCACCAGTGGCTTGACTTCCTTCAGACAACTCCAGAGATGCCCTGAGAACACTGTCCCAAGTCTAGAGGAACACCATCTTCAGCACAGCAACTCGAGGAATGCTCCGTGTACCCCAAATCGTCTCGAGATGAGAGCTGATTCCCTCGCTTAGGCTCAAGACGTATGCCAACTTTCCAGAAGCATCTCAAGGGGAGGCTTCTCTCAGCAATAGGTATGTTGGAGGGACCCCCAGTTTGCTGCCTCAAGTGGAATATGCAGCGAGAAGCCCTAACTTGAAAGGAGGCCGGGTTTCCTTGCAGTGTCTTGAATACAGGCTCGTCTTTCATCTCACAACGGGAAGGAATGTCTGAATCCCCTGTGGAGACCTTAGCGAAAGCCCTAGGTCCCTGCCTCATTTTGACGGATTGCCTCACATCCCGTTGACACCTCGAGAGGCACACGGAGTTCACTGCTTCAAATGTGACGATGCCTGACTCCTCCTGAATATTGATAGGAATCCCAAAATCACTGTGGCTACAGGAAAGGGTTCTTGTGTGCCCTGCCTCACCTCGAGAAGCATCCCTTTTGCCCTGCCAAGGCTCGAAAAGATTCCTGAGGTGTCCCTCATTACTAGACAGGAGTCATGACGTCACTGAATAAACACGTGTTTTCAAGGGCCAAGCCCGCCATAACTCGAGAACATACCCCACGTACCGCCGCGACTCGAGAAAAACCATGAGACTTCCCCTAGATGCGATATGAGGCCTGATTCCCTGCAGTCCATGCAGAGCATTCCCGTGATCCCAATCAAGCAAGTCAGCAGCTTCGAATTGCTTAATGGATCTCGAGATAGTCCCCAGGAACACTGTCACAAGTCTAGACAGACCCTGACATCACCCCAGCAAAGCAAAGCAGGTCCAAGTACCCCACATCACCTCGAGTTGAGGCCCGATTCCCATGCATTGACTCCAGAGCCATCCCCCGTACCCCATTAAACACCACCAGTGGCTTGACTTCCTTCAGGCAACTCCAGAGATGCCCCGAGAACACTGTCCCAAGTCTAGAGGAATACGAACTTCAGCACAGCAACTCGAGGAATGCTCGGTGTACCCCAAATCGTTTCGAGGTGAGAGCTGATTCCATGGCTTAGGCTCAAGACGTATGCCAACTTTCCAGAAGCACCTCAAGCGGAGGATTCTCTCAGCAATAGGTATGTTGGAGGGACCCCCACTTTGCTGCCTCAAGTGGAATATACAGCGAGAAGCCCTAACTTGAAAGGAGGCCGGATTTCCTTGCAGTGTGTTGAATACAGGCTCGTCTTTCATCTCACTACCGGAAGGGATCTCTGAATCCCCTGTGTAGAACTTAGAGAAAGCCCTAGGTCCCTGCCTCATTTTGACGGATTGCCTCACATCCCGTTGACACCTCGAGAGGCACGCGGAGTTCACTGCTTCAAAAGGTGATGATGCCTGACTCGTCTTGAATATTGATAGGAATCCCAAAATCCCTGTGGCTATTTGAAAGGTTCCTTGGGTGTCCTGCCTCACCTCGAGAAGCGTCCCTTGTCCCTGCCAAGCCTCGAAGAGATTCCTGAGCTGTCCCTCGTTACTGGACAGGAGTCCTGACGTCACTGAATAAACAGGAGTTTTTAAGGGCCATCCCCGCTGTAACCCGAGTACATACCCCAGGTCCCCGCCGCAAGTCGAGAAAAACCATGAGACTTTCCCCTAGTGGCGAGATGAGGCCCGATTCTCCTGCAGTGCATGCAGAGCAATTCCGTGACCCCCATCAAACAAGTCAGGACCTTCGACTTGCTTAATGGATCTCGAGACAGTCCCCAAGAATACGGTCACATGTCTAGACGGATCCTGAGGTCACCCCATCAACGCAAAGCAGCACCATGTGCCCCACATCAACTCCAGATAATGCCCGATTCCCCTGCATTGACTCCAGAGCCATCCCCCGTTCCACATTAAACACCACCAGTGGCTTGACTTCCTTCAGACAACTCCAGAGATGCCTTGAGAACACTGTCCCAAGTCTAGAGGAACACCATCTTCAGCACAGCAACTCGAGGAATGCTCCGTGTACCCCAAATCGTCTCGAGATGAGAGCTGATTCCCTGTCTTAGGCTCAAGACGTATGCCAACTTTCCAGAAGCACCTCAAGGGGAGGCTTCTCTCAGCAATAGATATGTTGGAGGGACCCCCAGTTTGCTGCCTCAAGTGGAATATGCAGCGAAAAGCCCTAACTTGAAAGGAGGCCGGGTTTCCTTGCAGTGTCTTGAATACAGGCTCGTCTTTCATCTCACAACGGGAAGGAATGTCTGAATCCCCTGTGGAGACCTTAGCGAAAGCCCTAGGTCCCTGCCTCATTTTGACGGATTGCCTCACATCCCGTTGACACCTCGAGAGGCACACGGAGTTCACTGCTTCAAATGTGACGATGCCTGACTCCTCCTGAACATTGATAGGAATCCCAAAATCACTGTGGCTACAGGAAAGGGTTCTTGTGTGCCCTGCCTCACCTCGAGAAGCATCGCTTTTGCCCTGCCAAGGCTCGAAAAGATTCCTGAGGTGTCCCTCATTACTAGACAGGAGTCATGACGTCACTGAATAAACACGTGTTTTCAAGGGCCAAGCCCGCCATAACTCGAGAACATACCCCACGTACCGCCGCGACTCGAGAAAAACCATGAGACTTCCCCTAGATGCGATATGAGGCCTGATTCCCTGCAGTCCATGCAGAGCATTCCCGTGATCCCAATCAAGCAAGTCAGCAGCTTCGAATTGCTTAATGGATCCCGAGAGAGTCCCCACGAACACTGTCACAAGTCTAGACAGACCCTGACATCACCCAAGCAAAGCAAAGCAGGTCCAAGTACCCCACATCACCTCGAGTTGAGGCCCGATTCCCATGCATTGACTCCAGAGCCATCCCCCGTACCCCATTAAACACCACCAGTGGCTTGACTTCCTTCAGGCAACTCCAGAGATGCCCCGAGAACACTGTCCCAAGTCTAGAGGAATACGAACTTCAGCACAGCAACTCGAGGAATGCTCGGTGTACCCCAAATCGTTTCGAGGTGAGAGCTGATTCCATGGCTTAGGCTCAAGACGTATGCCAACTTTCCAGAAGCACCTCAAGCGGAGGATTCTCTCAGCAATAGATATGTTGGAGGGACCCCCACTTTGCTGCCTCAAGTGGAATATACAGCGAGAAGCCCTAACTTGAAAGGAGGCCGGGTTTCCTTGCAGTGGCTTGAATACAGGCTCGTCTTTCATCTCACAACGGGAAGGAATGTCTGAATCCCCTGTGGAGACCTTAGCGAAAGCCCTAGGTCCCTGCCTCATTTTGACGGATTGCCTCACATCCCGTTGACACCTCGAGAGGCACGCGGAATTCACTGCTTCAAAAGGTGATGATGCCTGACTCGTCTTGAATATTGATAGGAATCCCAAAATCCCTGTGGCTATTTGAAAGGTTCCTTGGGTGTCCTGCCTCACCTCGAGAAGCGTCCCTTTTGCCTGCCAAGCCTCGAAGAGATTCCTGAGCTGTCCCTCATTACTGGACAGGAGTCCTGACGTCACTGAATAAACAGGAGTTTTTAAGGGCCATCCCCGCTGTAACCCGAGTACATACCCCAGGTCCCCGCCGCAAGTCGAGAAAAACCATGAGACTTTCCCCTAGTGGCGAGATGAGGCCCGATTCTCCTGCAGTGCATGCAGAGCAATTCCGTGATCCCCATCAAACAAGTCAGGAACTTCGACTTGCTTAATGGATCTCGAGACAGTCCCCAAGAATACGGTCACATGTCTAGATGATTCCTGAGGTCACCCCATCAACGCAAAGCAGCACCATGTGCCCCACATCAACTCGAGATAATGCCCGATTCCCCTGCATTGACTGCAGAGCCATCCCCCGTTCCACATTAAACACCACCAGTGGCTTGACTTCCTTCAGACAACTCCAGAGGTGCCCTGAGAACACTGTCCCAAGTCTAGAGGAACACCATCTTCAGCACAGCAACTCGAGGAATGCTCCGTGTACCCCAAATCGTCTCGAGATGAGAGCTGATTCCCTGGCTTAGGCTCAAGACGTATGCCAACTTTCCAGAAGCACCTCAAGGGGAGGCTTCTCTCAGCAATAGGTATGTTGGAGGGACCCCCAGTTTGCTGCCTCAAGTGGAATATGCAGCGAGAAGCCCTAACTTGAAAGGAGCCCGGGTTTCCTTGCAGTGTCTTGAATACAGGCTCGTCTTTCATCTCACAACGGGAAGGAATGTCTGAATCCCCTGTGGAGACCTTAGCGAAAGCCCTAGGTCCCTGCCTCATTTTGACGGATTGCCTCACATCCCGTTGACACCTCGAGAGGCACCCGGAGTTCACTGCTTCAAAAGTGATAATGCCTGACTCCTCCTGAACATTGATAGGAATCCCAAAATCACTGTGGCTACAGGAAAGGGTTCTTGTGTGCCCTGCCTCACCTCGAGAAGCATCGCTTTTGCCCTGCCAAGGCTCGAAAAGATTCCTGAGGTGTCCCTCATTACTAGACAGGAGTCATGACGTCACTGAATAAACACGTGTTTTCAAGGGTCAAGCCCGCCATAACTCGAGAACATACCCCACGTACCGCCGCGACTCGAGAAAAACCATGAGACTTCCCCTAGATGCGATATGAGGCCTGATTCCCTGCAGTCCATGCAGAGCATTCCCGTGATCCCAATCAAGCAAGTCAGCAGCTTCGAATTGCTTAATGGATCTGGAGAGAGTCCCCAGGAACACTGTCACAAGTCTAGACAGACCCTGACATCACCCCAGCAAAGCAAAGCAGGTCCAAGTACCCCACATCACCTCGAGTTGAGGCCCGATTCCCATGCATTGACTCCAGAGCCATCCCCCATACCCCATTAAACACCACCAGTGGCTTGACTTCCTTCAGGCAACTACAGAGATGCCCCGAGAACACTGTCCCAAGGCTAGAGGAATACGAACTTCAGCACAGCAACTCGAGGAATGCTCCGTGTACCCCAAATCGTTTCGAGGTGAGAGCTGATTCCATGGCTTAGGCTCAAGACATATGCCAACTTTCCAGAAGCACCTCAAGCGGAGGATTCTCTCAGCAATAGGTATGTTGGAGGGACCCCCACTTTGCTGCCTCAAGTGGAATATACAGCGAGAAGCCCTAACTTGAAAGGAGGCCGGATGTCCTTGCAGTGGCTTGAATACAGGCTCGTCTTTCATCTCACAGCATGAAGGGATGTCTGAATCCCCTGTGGAGACCTTAGAGAAAGCTCTAGGTCCCTGCCTCATTTTGACGGAATGCCTCACATCCCGTTCACACTTCGAGAGGCACGCGGAATTCACTGCTTCAAAAGTTGATGATGCCTGACTCGTATTGAATATTGATAGGAATCCCAAAATCCCTGTGGCTATTAGAAAGGTTCCTTGGGTGTCCTGCCTCACCTCGAGAAGCGTCCCTTGTGCCTGCCAAGCCTCGAAGAGATTCCTGAGCTGTCCCTCGTTACTGGACAGGAGTCCTGACGTCACTGAATAAACAGGAGTTTTTAAGGGCCATCCCCGCTGTAACGCGAGTACATACCCCAGGTCCCCGCCGCAAGTCGAGAAAAACCATGAGACTTTCCCCTAGTGGCGAGATGAGGCCCGATTCTCCTGCAGTGCATGCAGAGCAATTCCGTGATCCCCATCAAACAAGTCAGGACCTTCGACTTGCTTAATGGATCTCGAGACAGTCCCCAAGAATACTGTCACATGTCTAGACAGATCCTGAGGTCACCCCATCAACACAAAGCAGCACCATGTGCCCCACATCAACTCGAGATAATGCCCGATTCCCCTGCATTGACTCCAGAGCCATCCCCCGTTCCACATTAAACACCACCAGTGGCTTGACTTCCTTCAGACAACTCCAGAGATGCCCTGAGAACACTGTCCCAAGTCTAGAGGAACACCATCTTCAGCACAGCAACTCGAGGAATGCTCCGTGTACCCCAAATCGTCTCGAGATGAGAGCTGCTTCCCTGGCTTAGGCTCAAGACGTATGCCAACTTTCCAGAAGCACCTCAAGGGGAGGCTTCTCTCAGCAATAGGAATGTTGGAGGGACCCCCAGTTTGCTGCCTCAAGTGGAATATGCAGCGAGAAGCCCTAACTTGAAAGGAGGCCGGGTTTCCTTGCAGTGTCTTGAATACAGGCTCGTCTTTCATCTCACAACGGGAAGGAATGTCTGAATCCCCTGTGGAGTCCTTAGCGAAAGCCCTAGGTCCCTGCCTCATTTTGACGGATTGCCTCACATCCCGTTGACACCTCGAGAGGCACACGGAGTTCACTGCTTCAAATTTGACGATGCCTGACTCCTCCTGAACATTCATAGGAATCCCAAAATCACTGTGGCTACAGAAAAGGGTTCTTGTGTGCCCTGCCTCACCTCGAGAAGCATCCCTTTTGCCCTGCCAAGGCTCGAAAAGATTCCTGAGGTGTCCCTCATTACTAGACAGAAGTCATGACGTCACTGAATAAACACGTGTTTTCAAGGGCCAAGCCCGCCATAACTCGAGAACATACCCCACGTACCGCCGAAACTCGAGAAAAACCTTGAGACTTCCCCTAGATGCGATATGAGGCCTGATTCCCTGCAGTCCATGCAGAGCATTCCCGTGATCCCAATCAAGCAAGTCAGCAGCTTCGAATTGCTTAATGGATCTCGAGAGAGTCCCCAGGAACACTGTCACAAGTCTAGACAGACCCTGACATCACCCCAGCAAAGCAAAGCAGGTCTAAGTACCCCACATCACCTCGAGTTGAGGCCCGATTCCCATGCATTGACTCCAGAGCCATTCCCTTACCCCATTAAACACCACCAGTGGCTTGACTTCCTTCAGGCAACTACAGAGATGCCCCGAGAACACTGTCCCAAGTCTAGAGGAATACGAACTTCAGCACAGCAACTCGAGGAATGCTCCGTGTACCCCAAATCGTTTCGAGGTGAGAGCTGATTCCATGGCTTAGGCTCAAGACGTATGCCAACTTTCCCTAAGCCCCTCAAGCGGAGGATTCTCTCAGAAATAGGTATGTTGGAGGGACCCCCACTTTGCTGCCTCAAGTGGAATATACAGCGAGAAGCCCTAACTTGAAAGGAGGCCGGATTTCCTTGCAGTGTCTTGAATACAGGATCGTCTTTCATCTCACAACCGGAAGGGATGTCTGAATCCCCTGTGGAGAACTTAGAGAAAGCCCTAGGTCCCTGCCTCATTTTGACGGATTGCCTCACATCCCGTTGACACCTCGAGAGGCACGCGGAGTTCACTGCTTCAAAAGGTGATGATGCCTGACTCGTCTTGAGTATTGATAGGAATCCCAAAATCCCTGTGGCTATTTGAAAGGTTCCTTGGGTGTCCTGCCTCACCTCGAGAAGCGTCCCTTGTGCCTGCCAAGCCTCGAAGAGATTCCTGAGCTGTCCCTCGTTACTGGACAGGAGTCCTGACGTCACTGAATAAACAGGAGTTTTTAAGGGCCATCCCCGCTGTAACCCGAGTACATACCCCAGGTCCCCGCCGCAAGTCGAGAAAAACCATGAGACTTTCCCCTAGTGGCGAGATGAGGCCCGATTCTCCTGCAGTGCATGCAGAGCAATTCCGTGATCCCCATCAAACAAGTCAGGACCTTCGACTTGCTTAATGGATCTCGAGACAGTCCCCAAGAATACTGTCACATGTCTAGACGGATCCTGAGGTCACCCCATCAACGCAAAGCAGCACCATGTGCCCCACATCAACTCGAGATAATGACCGATTCCCCTGCGTTGACTCTAGAGCCATCCCCCGTTCCCCATTAAACTCCACCAGTGGCTTGACTTCCTTCAGACAACTCCAGAGATGCACTGAGAACACTGTCCCAAGTCTAGAGGAACACCATCTTCAGCACAGCAACTCGAGGAATGCTCCGTGTACCCCAAATCGTCTCGAGATGAGAGCTGATTCCCTTTCTTAGGCTCAAGACGTATGCCAAATTTCCGGAAGCACCTCAAGGGGAGGCTTCTCTCAGTAATAGGTATGTTGGAGGGACCCCCAGTTTGCTGCCTCAAGTGGAATATGCAGCGAGAAGCCCTAACTTGAAAGGAGGCCGGGTTTCCTTGCAGTGTCTTGAATACAGGTTCGTCTTTCATCTCACAACGGGAAGGAATGTCTGAATCCCCTGTGGAGACCTTAGCGAAAGCCCTAGGTCCCTGCCTCATTTTGACGGATTGCCTCACATCCCGTTGACACCTCGAGAGGCACCCGGAGTTCACTGCTTCAAATGTGACGATGCCTGACTCCTCCTGAACATTGGTAGGAATCCCAAAATCACTGTGGCTACAGGAAAGGGTTCTTGTGTGCCCTGCCTCACCTCGAGAAGCATCCCTTTTGCCCTGCCAAGGCTCGAAAAGATTCCTGAGGTGTCCCTCATTACTAGACAGGAGTCATGACGTCACTGAATAAACACGTGTTTTCAAGGGCCAAGCCCGCCATAACTCGAGAACATACCCCACGTACCGCCGCGACTCGAGAAAAACCATGAGACTTCCCCTAGATGCGATATGAGGCCTGATTCCCTGCAGTCCATGCAGAGCATTCCCGTGATCCCAATCAAGCAAGTCAGCAGGTTCGAATTGCTTAATGGATCTCGAGAGAGTCCCCAGGAACACTGTCACAAGTCTAGACAGACCCTGACATCACCCCAGCAAAGCAAAGCAGGTCCAAGTACCCCACATCACCTCGAGTTGAGGCCCGATTCCCATGCATTGATTCCAGAGCCAACCCCATACCCCATTAAACAGCACCAGTGGCTTGACTTCCTTCAGGCAACTCCAGAGATGCCCCGAGAACACTTTCCCAAGTCTAGAGGAATACGAACTTCAGCACAGCAACTCGAGGAATGCTCCGTGTACCCCAAATCGTTTCGAGGTGAGAGCTGATTCCATGGCTTAGGCTCAACACATATGCCAACTTTCCAGAAGCACCTCAAGAGGAGGATTCTCTCAGCAATAGGTATGTTGGAGGGACCCCCACTTTGCTGCCTCAAGTGGAATATACAGCGAGAAGCCCTAACTTGAAAGGAGGCCGGATTTCCTTGCAGTGGCTTGAATACAGGCTCGTCTTTCATCTCACAGCATGAAGGGATGTCTGAATCCCCTGTGGAGACCTTAGAGAAAGCTCTAGGTCCCTGCCTCATTTTGACGGAATGCCTCACATCCCGTTCACACTTCGAGAGGCACGCGGAATTCACTGCTTCAAAAGTTGATGATGCCTGACTCGCCTTGAATATTGATAGGAATCCCAAAATCCCTGTGGCTATTTGAAAGGTTCCTTGGGTGTCCTGCCTCACCTCGAGAAGCGTCCCTTGTGCCTGCCAAGCCTCGAAGAGTTTCCTGAGCTGTTCCTCGTTACTGGACAGGAGTCCTGACGTCACTGTATAAACAGGAGTTTTTAAGGGCCATCCCCGCTGTAACCCAAGTACATACCCCAAGTCCCCGCCGCAAGTCGAGAAAAACCATGAGACTTTCCCCTAGTGGCGAGATGAGGCCCGATTCTCCTGCAGTCCATGCAGAGCATTCCCGTGATCCCAATCAAGCAAGTCAGCAGCTTCGAATTGCTTAATGGATCTCGAGAGAGTCCCCAGGAACACTGTCACAAGTCTAGACAGACCCTGACATCACCCCAGCAAAGCAAAGCAGGTCCAAGTACCCCACATCACATCGAGTTGAGGCCCGATTCCCATGCATTGACTCCAGAGCCATCCCCCGTACCCCATTAAACACCACCAGTGGCTTGACTTCCTTCAGGCAACTACAGAGATGCCCCGAGAACACTGTCCCAAGTCTAGAGGAATACGAACTTCAGCACAGCAACTCGAGGAATGCTCCGTGTACCCCAAATCGTTTCGAGGTGAGAGCTGATTCCATGGCTTAGGCTCAAGACGTATGCCAACTTTCCAGAAGCAACTCAAGCGGAGGATTCTCTCAGCAATAGTTATGTTGGAGTTACTCCCACTTTGCTGCCTCAAGTGGAATATACAGCGAGAAGCCCTAACTTGAATGGAGGCCGGATTTCCTTGCAGTGTCTTGAATACAGGCTCGTCTTTCATCTCACAACCGGAAGGGATGTCTGAATCCCCTGTGGAGAACTTAGAGAAAGCCCTAGGTCCCTGCCTCATTTTGACGGATTGCCTCACATCCCGTTGACACCTCGAGAGGCACGCGGAGTTCACTGCTTCAAAAGGTGATGATGCCTGACACGTCTTGAATATTGATAGGAATCCCAAAATCACTGTGGCTACAGGAAAGGGTTCTTGTGTGCCCTGCCTCACCTCGAGAAGCATCCCTTTTGACCTGCCAAGGCTCGAAAAGATTCCTGAGGTGTCCCTCATTACTAGACAGGAGTCATGACGTCACTGAATAAACACGTGTTTTCAAGGGCCAAGCCCGCCATAACTCGAGAACATACCCCACGTACCGCCGCGACTCGAGAAAAACCATGAGACTTCCCCTAGATGCGATATGAGGCCTGATTCCCTGCAGTCCATGCAGAGCATTCCTGTGATCCCAATCAAGCAAGTCAGCAGGTTCGAATTGCTTAATGGATCTCGAGAGAGTCCCCAGGAACACTGTCACAAGTCTAGACAGACCCTGACATCACCCCAGCAAAGCAAAGCAGGTCCAAGTACCCCACATCACATCGAGTTGAGGCCCGATTCCCATGCATTGACTCCAGAGCCATCCCCCGTACCCCATTAAACACCACTAGTGGCTTGACTTCCTTCAGGCAACTACAGAGATGCCCCGAGAACACTGTCCCAAGTCTAGAGGAATACGAACTTCAGCACAGCAACTCGAGGAATGTTCCGTGTACCCCAAATCGTTTCGAGGTGAGAGCTGATTCCATGGCTTAGGCTCAAGACATATGCCAACTTTCCAGAAGACCCTCAAGAGGAGGCTTCTCTCAGCAATAGGTATGTGGGAGGGACCCCGAATTTGCTGCCTCAAGTGGAATATACAGCGAGAAGCCCTAACTTGAAAGGAGGCCGGATTTCCTTGCAGTGGCTTGAATACAGGCTCGTCTTTCATCTCACAGCATGAAGGGATGTCTGAATCCCCTGTGGAGACCTTAGAGAAAGCTCTAGGTCCCTGCCTCATTTTGACGGAATGCCTCACATCCCGTTCACACTTCGAGAGGCACGCGGAATTCACTGCTTCAAAAGGTGATGATGCCTGACTCGTCTTGAATATTGATAGGAATCCCAAAATCCCTGTGGCTATTTGAAAGGTTCCTTGGGTGTCCTGCCTCACCTCGAGAAGCGTCCCTTGTGCCTGCCAAGCCTCGAAGAGATTCCTGAGCTGTCCCTCGTTACTGGACAGGAGTCCTGACGTCACTGAATAAACAGGAGTTTTTAAGGGCCATCCCCGCTGTAACCCGAGTACATACCCCAGGTCCCCGCCGCAAGTCGAGAAAAACCATGAGACTTTCCCCTAGTGGCGAGATGAGGCCCGATTCTCCTGCAGTGCATGCAGAGCAATTCCGTGATCCCCATCAAACAAGTCAGGACCTTCGACTTGCTTAATGGATCTCGAGACAGTCCCCAAGAATACTGTCACATGTCTAGACGGATCCTGAGGTCACCCCATCAACGCAAAGCAGCACCATGTGCCCCACATCAACTCGAGATAATGCCCGATTCCCCTGCATTGACTCCAGAGCCATCCCCCGTTCCCCATTAAACACCACCAGTGGCTTGACTTCCTTCAGACAACTCCAGAGATGCCCTGAGAACACTGTCCCAAGTCTAGAGGAACACCATCTTCAGCACAGCAACTCGAGGAATGCTCCGTGTACCCCAAATCGTCTCGAGATGAGAGCTGATTCCCTGGCTTAGGCTCAAGACGTATGCCAACTTTCCAGAAGCACCTCAAGGGGAGGCTTCTCTCAGCAATAGGTATGTTGGATGGACCCCCAGTTTGCTGCCTCAAGTGGAATATGCAGCGAGAAGCCCTAACTTGAAAGGAGGCCGGGTTTCCTTGCAGTGTCTTGAATACAGGCTCGTCTTTCATCTCACAACGGGAAGGAATGTCTGAATCCCCTGTGGAGACCTTAGCGAAAGCCCTAGGTCCCTGCCTCATTTTGACGGATTGCCTCACATCCCGTTGACACCTCGAGAGGCACACGGAGTTCACTGCTTCAAATGTGACGATGCCTGACTCCTCCTGAACATTGATAGGAATCCCAAAATCACTGTGGCTACAGGAAAGGGTTCTTGTGTGCCCTGCCTCACCTCGAGAAGCATCCCTTTTGCCCTGCCAAGGCTCGAAAAGATTCCTGAGGTGTCCCTCATTACTAGACAGGAGTCATGACGTCACTGAATAAACACGTGTTTTCAAGGGCCAAGCCCGCCATAACTCGAGAACATACCCCACGTACCGCCGCGACTCGAGAAAAACCAGGAGACTTCCCCTAGATGCGATATGAGGCCTGATTCCCTGCAGTCCATGCAGAGCATTCCCGTGATCCCAATCAAGCAAGTCAGCAGCTTCGAATTGCTTAATGGATCTCGAGAGAGTCCCCAGGAACACTGTCACAAGTCTAGACAGACCCTGACATCACCCCAGCAAAGCAAAGCAGGTCCAAGTACCCCACATCACATCGAGTTGAGGCCCGATTCCCATGCATTGACTCCAGAGCCATCCCCCGTACCCCATTAAACACCACCAGTGGCTTGACTTCCTTCAGGCAACTACAGAGATGCCCCGAGAACACTGTCCCAAGTCTAGAGGAATACGAACTTCAGCACAGCAACTCGAGGAATGCTCCGTGTACCCCAAATCGTTTCGAGGTGAGAGCTGATTCCATGGCTTAGGCTCAAGACGTATGCCAACTTTCCAGAAGACCCTCAAGAGGAGGCTTCTCTCAGCAATAGGTATGTGGGAGGGACCCCGAATTTGCTGCCTCAAGTGGAATATACAGCGAGAAGCCCTAACTTGAAAGGAGGCCGGATTTCCTTGCAGTGGCTTGAATACAGGCTCGTCTTTCATCTCACAGCATGAAGGGATGTCTGAATCCCCTGTGGAGACCTTAGAGAAAGCTCTAGGTCCCTGCCTCATTTTGACGGAATGCCTCACATCCCGTTCACACTTCGAGAGGCACGCGGAATTCACTGCTTCAAAAAGTGATGATGCCTGACTCGTCTTGAATATTGATAGGAATCCCAAAATCCCTGTGGCTATTTGAAAGGTTCCTTGTGTGTCCTGCCTCACCTCGAGAAGCGTCCCTTGTGCCTGCCAAGCCTCGAAGAGATTCCTGAGCTGTCCCTCGTTACTGGACAGGAGTCCTGACGTCACTGAATAAACAGGAGTTTTTAAGGGCCATCCCCGCTGTAACCCGAGTACATACCCCAGGTCCCCGCCGCAAGTCGAGAAAAACCATGAGACTTTCCCCTAGTGGCGAGATGAGGCCCGATTCTCCTGCAGTGCATGCAGAGCAATTCCGTGATCCCCATCAAACAAGTCAGGACCTTCGACTTGCTTAATGGATCTCGAGACAGTCCCCAAAAATACGGTCACATGTCTAGACGGATCCTGAGGTCACCCCATCAACGCAAAGCAGCACCATGTGCCCCACATCAACTCGAGATAATGCCCGATTCCCCTGCATTGACTCCAGAGCCATCCCCCGTTCCACATTAAACACGACCAGTAGTTTGACTTCCTTCAGGCAACTCCAGAGACGCCCTGAGAACACTGTCCCAAGTCTAGAGGAACACCATCTTCAGCACAGCAACTCGAGGAATGCTCCGTGTACCGCAAATCGTCTCGAGATGAGAGCTGATTCCCTGGCTTAGGCTCAAGACCTATGCCAACTTTCCAGAAGCACCTCAAGGGGAGGCTTCTCTCAGCAATAGGTATGTTGGATGGACCCCCAGTTTGCTGCCTCAAGTGGAATATGCAGCGAGAAGCCCTAACTTGAAAGGAGGCCGGGTTTCCTTGCAGTGTCTTGAATACAGGCTCGTCTTTCATCTCACAACGGGAAGGAATGTCTGAATCCCCTGTGGAGACCTTAGCGAAAGCCCTAGGTCCCTGCCTCATTTTGACGGATTGCCTCACATCCCGTTGACACCTCGAGAGGCACACGGAGTTCACTGCTTCAAATGTGACGATGCCTGACTCCTCCTGAACATTGATAGGAATCCCAAAATCACTGTGGCTACAGGAAAGGGTTCTTGTGTGCCCTGCCTCACCTCGAGAAGCATCCCTTTTGCCCTGCCAAGGCTCGAAAAGATTCCTGAGGTGTCCCTCATTACTAGACAGGAGTCATGACGTCACTGAATAAACACGTGTTTTCAAGGGCCAAGCCCGCCATAACTCGAGAACATACCCCACGTACCGCCGCGACTCGAGAAAAACCATGAGACTTCCCCTAGATGCGATATGAGGCCTGATTCCCTGCAGTCCATGCAGAGCATTCCCGTGATCCCAATCAAGCAAGTCAGCAGGTTCGAATTGCTTAATGGATCTCGAGAGAGTCCCCAGGAACACTGTCACAAGTCTAGACAGACCCTGACATCACCCCAGCAAAGTAAAGCAGGTCCAAGTACCCCACATCACCTCGAGTTGAGGCCCGATTCCCATGCATTGACTCCAGAGCCATCCCCCGTACCCCATTAAACACCACCAGTGGCTTGACTTCCTTCAGGCAACTCCAGAGATGCCCCGAGAACACTGTCCCAAGTCTAGAGGAATACGAAGTTCAGCACAGCAACTCGAGGAATGCTCCGTGTACCCCAAATCGTTTCGAGGTGAGAGCTGATTCCATGGCTTAGGCTCAAGACGTATGCCAACTTTCCAGAAGCCCCTCAAGCGGAGGATTCTCTCAGCAATAGGTATGTTGGAGGGACCCCCACTTTGCTGCCTCAAGTGGAATATACAGCGAGAAGCCCTAACTTGAAAGGAGGCCGGATTTCCTTGCAGTGTCTTGAATCCAGGCTCGTCTTTCATCTCACAACCAGAAGGGATGTCTGAATCCCCTGTGGAGAACTTAGAGAAAGCCCTAGGTCCCTGCCTCATTTTGACGGATTGCCTCACATCCCGTTGACACCTCGAGAGGCACGCGGAATTCACTGCTTCAAAAGGTGATGATGCCTGACTCGTCTTGAATATTGATAGGAATTCCAAAATCCCTGTGGCTATTTGAAAGGTTCCTTGGGTGTCCTGCCTCACCTCGAGAAGCGTCCCTTGTGCCTGCCAAGCCTGGAAGAGATTCCTGAGCTGTCCCTCATTACTGGACAGGAGTCCTGACGTCACTGAATAAACAGGAATTTTTAAGGGCCATCCCCGCTGTAACCCGAGTACATACACCAGGTCCCCGCCGCAAGTCGAGAAAAACCATGAGACTTTCCCCTAGTGGCGAGATGAGGCCCGATTCTCCTGCAGTGCATGCAGAGCAATTCCGTGATACCCATCAAACAACTCAGGACCTTCGCCTTGCTTAATGGATCTCGAGACAGTCCCCAAGAATACTGTCACATGTCTAGACGGATCCTGAGGTCACCCCATCAATGCAAAGCAGCACCATGTGCCCCACATCAACTCGAGATAATGCCCGATTCCCCTGCATTGATTCCAGAGCCATCCCCCGTTCCACATTAAACACCACCAGTGGCTTGACTTCCTTCAGACATTCCAGAGATGCCCTGAGAACACTGTCCAAAATCTAGAGGAACACCATCTTCAGCACAGCAACTCGAGGAATGCTCCGTGTACCCCAAATCGTCTCGAGATGAGAGCTGATTCCCTGGCTTAGGCTCAAGACGTATGCCAACTTTCCAGAAGCACCTCAAGGGGAGGCTTCTCTCAGCAATAGGTATGTTGGAGGGACCCCCAGTTTGCTGCCTCAAGTGGAATATGCAGCGAGAAGCCCTAACTTGAAAGGAGGCCGGGTTTCCTTGCAGTGTCTTGAATACAGGCTCGTCTTTCATCTCACAACGGGAAGGAATGTCTGAATCCCCTGTGGAGACCTTAGCGAAAGCCCTAGGTCCCTGCCTCATTTTGACGGATTGCCTCACATCCCGTTGACACCTCGAGAGGCACACGGAGTTCACTGCTTCAAATGTGACGATGCCTGACTCCTCCTGAACATTGATAGGAATCCCAAAATCACTGTGGCTACAGGAAAGGGTTCTTGTGTGCCCTGCCTCACCTCGAGAAGCATCCCTTTTGCCCTGCCAAGGCTCGAAAAGATTCCTGAGGTGTCCCTCATTACTAGACAGGAGTCATGACGTCACTGAATAAACACGTGTTTTCAAGGGCCAAGCCCGCCATAACTCGAGAACATACCCCACGTACCGCCGCGACTCGAGAAAAACCATGAGACTTCCCCTAGATGCGATATGAGGCCTGATTCCCTGCAGTCCATGCAGAGCATTCCCGTGATCCCAATCAAGCAAGTCAGCAGCTTCGAATTGCTTAATGGATCTCGAGAGAGTCCCCAGGAACACTGTCACAAGTCTAGACAGACCCTGACATCACCCCAGCAAAGCAAAGCAGGTCCAAGTACCCCACATCACCTCAAGTTGAGGCCCGATTCCCATGCATTGACTCCAGAGCCATCCCCCGTACCCCATTAAACACCACCAGTGGCTTGACTTCCTTCAGGCAACTACAGAGATGCCCCGAGAACACTGTCCCAAGTCTAGAGGAATACGAACTTCAGCACAGCAACTCGAGGAATGCTCGGTGTACCCCAAATCTTTTCGAGGTGAGAGCTGATTCCATGGCTTAGGCTCAAGACGTATGCCAACTTTCCAGAAGCACCTCAAGCGGAGGATTCTCTCAGCAATAGATATGTTGGAGGGACCCCCACTTTGCTGCCTCAAGTGGAATATACAGCAAGAAGCCCTAACTTGAAAGGAGGCCGGATTTCCTTGCAGTGTCTTGCATACAGGCTCGTCTTTCATCTCACAACCGGAAGGGATGTCTGAATCCCCTGTGTAGAACTTAGAGAAAGCCCTAGGTCCCTGCCTCATTTTGACGGATTGCCTCACATCCCGTTGACACCTCGAAAGTCACGCGGAGTTCACTGCTTCAAAAGGTGATGATGCCTGACTCGTCTTGAATATTGATAGGAATCCCAAAATCCCTGTGGCTATTTGAAAGGTTCCTTGGGTGTCCTGCCTCACCTCGAGAAGCGTCCCTTGTGCCTGCCAAGCCTCGAAGAGATTCCTGAGCTGTCCCTCGTTACTGGACAGGAGTCCTGACGTCACTGAATAAACAGGAGTTTTTAAGGGCCATCCCCGCTGTAAACCGAGTACATACCCCAGGTCCCCGCCGCAAGTCGAGAAAAACCATGAGACTTTCCCCTAGTGGCGAGATGAGGCCCGATTCTCCTGCAGTGCATGCAGAGCAATTCCGTGATCCCCATCAAACAAGTCAGGACCTTCGACTTGCTTAATGGATCTCGAGACAGTCCCCAAGAATACGGTCACATGTCTAGATGGATCCTGAGGTCACCCCATCAACGCAAAGCAGCACCATGTGCCCCACATCAACTCGAGATAATGCCCGATTCCCGTGCATTGACTGCAGAGCCATCCCCCGTTCCACATTAAACACCACCAGTGGCTTGACTTCCTTCAGACAACTCCAGAGATGCCCTGAGAACACTGTCCCAAGTCTAGAGGAACACCATCTTCAGCACAGCAACTCGAGGAATGCTCCGTGTACACCAAATCGTCTCGAGATGAGAGCTGATTCCCTGGCTTAGGCTCAAGACGTATGCCAACTTTCCAGAAGCACCTCAAGGGGAGGCTTCTCTCAGCAATAGGTATGTTGGAGGGACCCCCAGTTTGCTGCCTCAAGTGGAATATGCAGCGAGAAGCCCTAACTTGAAAGGAGGCCGGGTTTCCTTGCAGTGTCTTGAATACAGGCTCGTCTTTCATCTCACAACGGGAAGGAATGTCTGAATCCCCTGTGGAGACCTTAGCGAAAGCCCTAGGTCCCTGCCTCATTTTGACGGATTGCCTCACATCCCGTTGACACCTCGAGAGGCACCCGGAGTTCACTGCTTCAAATGTGATGATGCCTGACTCCTCCTGAACATTGATAGGAATCCCCAAATCACTGTGGCTACTGGAAAGGGTTCTTGTGTGCCCTGCCTCACCTCGAGAAGCATCCCTTTTGCCCTGCCAAGGCTCGAAAAGATTCCTGAGGTGTCCCTCATTACTAGACAGGAGTCATGACGTCACTGAATAAACACGTGTTTTCAAGGGCCAAGCCCGCCATAACTCGAGAACATACCCCACGTACCGCCGCGACTCGAGAAAAACCATGAGACTTCCCCTAGATGCGATATGAGGACTGATTCCCTGCAGTCCATGCAGAGCATTCCCGTGATCCGAATCAAGCAAGTCAGCAGCTTCGAATTGCTTAATGGATCTCGAGAGAGTCCCCAGGAACACTGTCACAAGTCTAGACAGACCCTGACATCACCCCAGCAAAGCAAAGCAGGTCCAAGTACCCCACATCACCTCGAGTTGAGGCCCGATTCCCATGCATTGACTCCAGAGCCATCCCCCGTACCCCATTAAACACCACCAGTGGCTTGACTTCCTTCAGGCAAATCCAGAGATGCCCCGAGAACACTGTCCCAAGTCTAGAGGAATACGAACTTCAGCACAGCAACTCGAGGAATGCTCTGTGAACCCCAAATCGTTTCGAGGTGAGAGCTGATTCCATGGCTTAGGCTCAAGACGTATGCCAACTTTCCAGAAGCACCTCAAGCAGAGGATTCTCTCAGCAATAGGTATGTTGGAGGGACCCCCACTTTGCTGCCTCAAGTGGAATATACCGCGAGAAGCCCTAACTTGAAAGGAGGCCGGATTTCCTTGCAGTGTCTTGAATACAGGCTCGTCTTTCATCTCACTACCGGAAGGGATGTCTGAATCCCCTGTGTAGAACTTAGAGAAAGCCCTAGGTCCCTGCCTCATTTTGACGGATTGCCTCACATCCCGTTGACACCTCGAGAGGCACGCGGAGTTCACTGCTTCAAAAGGTGATGATGCCTGACTCGTCTTGAATATTGATAGGAATCCCAAAATCCCTGTGGCTATTTGAAAGGTTCCTTGGGTGTCCTGCCTCACCTCGAGAAGCGTCCCTTGTGCCTGCCAAGCCTCGAAGAGATTCCTGAGCTGTCCCTCGTTACTGGACAGGAGTCCTGACGTCACTGAATAAACAGGAGTTTTTCAGGGCCATCCCCGCTGTAACCCGAGTACATACCCCAGGTCCCCGCCGCAAGTCGAGAAAAACCATGAGACTTTCCCCTAGTGGCGAGATGAGGCCCGATTCTCATGCAGTGCATGCAGAGCAATTCTGAGATCCCCATCAAACAAGTCAGGACCTTCGACTTGCTTAATGGATCTCGAGACAGTCCCCAAGAATACTGTCACATGTCTAGACGGATCCTGAGGTCACCCCATCAACGCAAAGCAGCACCATGTGCCCCACATCGACTCGAGATAATGCCCGATTCCCCTGCATTGACTCCAGAGCCATCCCCCGTTCCACATTAAACACCACCAGTGGCTTGACTTCCTTCAGACAACTCCAGAGATGTACTAGGAACACTGTCCCAAGTCTAGAGGAACACCATCTTCAGCACAGCAACTCGAGGAATGCTCCGTGTACCCCAAATCATCTCGAGATGAGAGCTGATTCCCTGGCTTAGGCTCAAGACGTATGCCAACTTTCCAGAAGCACCTCAAGGGGAGGCTTCTCTCAGCAATGGGTATGTTGGAGGGACCCCCAGTTTGCTGCCTCAAGTGGAATATGCAGCGAGAAGCCCTAACTTGAAAGGAGGCCGGGTTTCCTTGCAGTGTCTTGAATACAGGCTCGTCTTTCATCTCACAACGGGAAGGAATGTCTGAATCCCCTGTGCAGACCTTAGCGAAAGCCCTAGGTCCCTGCCTCATTTTGACGGATTGCGTCACATCCCGTTGACACCTCGAGAGGCACCCGGAGTTCACTGCTTCAAATGTGACGATGCCTGACTCCTCCTGAACATTGATAGGAATCCCAAAATCACTGTGGCTACAGGAAAGGGTTCTTGTGTGCCCTGCCTCACTTCGAGAAGCATCCCTTTTGCCCTGCCAAGGCTCGAAAAGATTCCTGAGGTGTCCCTCATTACTAGACAGGAGTCATGACGTCACTGAATAAACACGTGTTTTCAAGGGCCAAGCCCGCCATAACTCGAGAACATACCCCACGTACCGCCGCGACTCGAGAAAAACCATGAGACTTCCCCTAGATGCGATATGAGGCCTGATTCCCTGCAGTCCATGCAGAGCATTCCCGTGATCCCAATCAAGCAAGTCAGCAGCTTCGAATTGCTTAATGGATCTCGAGAGAGTCCCCAGGAACACTGGCACAAGTCTAGACAGACCCTGACATCATCCCAGCAAAGCAAAGCAGGTCCAGGTACCCCACATCACCTCGAGTTGAGGCCCGATTCCCATGCATTGACTCCAGAGCCATCCCCCGTACCCCATTAAACACCACCAGTGGCTTGACTTCCTTCAGGCAACTCCAGAGATGCCCCGAGAACACTGTCCCAAGTCTAGAGGAATACGAACTTCAGCACAGCAACTCGAGGAATGCTCCGTGTACCCCAAATCGTTTCGAGGTGAGAGCTGATTCCATGGCTTAGGCTCAAGACGTATGCCAACTTTCCAGAAGCACCTCAAGCGGAGGATTCTCTCAGCAATAGATATGTTGGAGGGACCCCCACTTTGCTTCCTCAAGTGGAATATACAGCAAGAAGCCCTAACTTGAAAGGAGGCCGGATTTCCTTGCAGTGTCTTGCATACAGGCTCGTCTTTCATCTCACAACCGGAAGGGATGTCTGAATCCCCTGTGTAGAACTTAGAGAAAGCCCTAGGTCCCTGCCTCATTTTGACGGATTGCCTCACATCCCGTTGACACCTCGAAAGGCACGCGGAGTTCACTGCTTCAAAAGGTGATGATGCCTGACTCGTCTTGAATATTGATAGGAATCCCAAAATCCCTGTGGCTATTTGAAAGGTTCCTTGGGTGTCCTGCCTCACCTCGAGAAGCGTCCCTTGTGCCTGCCAAGCCTCGAAGAGATTCCTGAGCTGTCCCTCGTTACTGGACAGGAGTCCTGACGTCACTGAATAAACAGGAGTTTTTAAGGGCCATCCCCGCTGTAACCCGAGTACATACCCCAGGTCCCCGCCGCAAGTCGAGAAAAACCATGAGACTTTCCCCTAGTGGCGAGATGAGGCCCGATTCTCATGCAGTGCATGCAGAGCAATTCTGAGATCCCCATCAAACAAGTCAGGACCTTCGACTTGCTTAATGGATCTCGAGACAGTCCCCAAGAATACGGTCACATGTCTAGACGGATCCTGAGGTCACCCCATCAACGCAAAGCAGCACCATGTGCCCCACATCGACTCGAGATAATGCCCGATTCCCCTGCATTGACTCCAGAGCCATCCCCCGTTCCACATTAAACACCACCAGTGGCTTGACTTCCTTCAGACAACTCCAGAGATGCCCTAGGAACACTGTCCCAAGTCTAGAGGAACACCATCTTCAGCACAGCAACTCGAGGAATGCTCCGTGTACCCCAAATCGTCTCGAGATGAGAGCTGATTCCCTGGCTTAGGCTCAAGACGTATGCCAACTTTCCAGAAGCACCTCAAGGGGAGGCTTCTCTCAGCAATGGGTATGTTGGAGGGACCCCCAGTTTGCTGCCTCAAGTGGAATATGCAGCGAAAAGCCCTAACTTGAAAGGAGGCCGGGTTTCCTTGCAGTGTCTTGAATACAGGCTCGTCTTTCATCTCACAACGGGAAGGAATGTCTGAATCCCCTGTGGAGACCTTAGCGAAAGCCCTAGGTCCCTGCCTCATTTTGACGGATTGCCTCACATCCCGTTGACACCTCGAGAGGCACCCGGAGTTCACTGCTTCAAATGTGACGATGCCTGACTCCTCCTGAACATTGATAGGAATCCCAAAATCACTGTGGCTACAGGAAAGGGTTCTTGTGTGCCCTGCCTCACCTCGAGAAGCATCCCTTTTGCCCTGCCAAGGCTCGAAAAGATTCCTGAGGTGTCCCTCATTACTAGACAGGAGTCATGACGTCACTGAATAAACACGTGTTTTCAAGGGCCAAGCCCGCCATAACTCGAGAACATACCCCATGTACCGCCGCGACTCGAGAAAAACCATGAGACTTCCCCTAGATGCGATATGAGGCCTGATTCCCTGCAGTCCATGCAGAGCATTCCCGTGATCCCAATCAAGCAAGTCAGCAGCTTCGAATTGCTTAATGGATCTGGAGAGAGTCCCCAGGAACACTGTCACAAGTCTAGACAGACCCTGACATCATCCCAGCAAAGCAAAGCAGGTCCAGGTACCCCACATCACCTCGAGTTGAGGCCCGATTCCCATGCATTGACTCCAGAGCCATCCCCCGTACCCCATTAAACAACACCAGTGGCTTGCCTTCCTTCAGGCAACTCCAGAGATGCCCCGAGAACACTGTCCCAAGTCTAGAGGAATACGAACTTCAGCACAGCAACTCGAGGAATGCTCCGTGTACCCCAAATCGTTTCGAGGTGAGAGCTGATTCCATGGCTTAGGCTCAAGACGTATGCCAGCTTTCCAGAAGCCCCTCAAGAGGAGGCTTCTCTCAGCAATAAGTATGTGGGAGAGACCCCGAATTTGCTGCCTCAAGTGGAATATACAGCGAGAAGCCCTAACTTGAAAGGAGGCTGGATTTCCATGCAGTGGCTTGAATACAGGCTCGTCTTTCATCTCACAGCATGAAGGGATGTCTGAATCCCCTGTGGAGACCTTAGAGAAAGCTCTAGGTCCCTGCCTCATTTTGACGGAATGCCTCACATCCCTTTGACACTTCGAGAGGCACGCGGAATTCACTGCTTCAAAAGGTGATGATGCCTGACTCGTCTTGAATATTGATAGGAATCCCAAAATCCCTGTGGCTATTTGAAAGGTTCCTTGGGTGTCCTGCCTCACCTCGAGAAGCGTCCCTTTTGCCTGCCAAGCCTCGAAGAGATTCCTGAGCTGTCCCTCGTTACTGGACAGGAGTCCTGACGTCACTGAATAAACAGGAGTTTTTAAGGGCCATCCCCGCTGTAACCCGAGTACATACCCCAGGTCCCCGCCGCAAGTCGAGAAAAACCATGAGACTTTCCCCTAGTGGCGAGATGAGGCCCGATTCTCCTGCAGTGCATGCAGAGCAATTCCGTGATCCCCATCAAACAAGTCAGGACCTTCGACTTGCTTAATGGATCTCGAGACAGTCCCCAAGAATACTGTCAAATGTCTAGACGGATCCTGAGGTCACCCCATCAACGCAAAGCAGCACCATGTGCCCCACATCAACTCGAGATAATGCCCGATTCCCCTGCATTGACTCCAGAGCCATCCCCCGTTCCCCATTAAACACCACCAGTGGCTTGACTTCCTTCAGACAACTCCAGAGATGCCCTGAGAACACTGTCCCAAGTCTAGAGGAACACCATCTTCAGCACAGCAACTCGAGGAATGCTCCGTGTACCCCAAATCGTCTCGAGATGAGAGCTGATTCCCTCGCTTAGGCTCAAGACGTATGCCAACTTTCCAGAAGCATCTCAAGGGGAGGCTTCTCTCAGCAATAGGTATGTTGGAGGGACCCCCAGTTTGCTGCCTCAAGTGGAATATGCAGCGAGAAGCCCTAACTTGAAAGGAGGCCGGGTTTCCTTGCAGTGTCTTGAATACAGGCTCGTCTTTCATCTCACAACGGGAAGGAATGTCTGAATCCCCTGTGGAGACCTTAGAGAAATCCCTAGGTCCCTGCCTCATTTTGACGGATTGCCTCACATCCCGTTGACACCTCGAGAGGCACACGGAGTTCACTGCTTCAAATGTGACGATGCCTGACTCCTCCTGAACATTGATAGGAATCCCAAAATCACTGTGGCTACAGGAAAGGGTTCTTGTGTGCCCTGCCTCACCTCGAGAAGCATCCCTTTTGCCCTGCCAAGGCTCGAAAAGATTCCTGAGGTGTCCCTCATTACTAGACAGGAGTCATGACGTCACTGAATAAACACGTGTTTTCAAGGGCCAAGCCCGCCATAACTCGAGAACATACCCCACGTACCGCCGCGACTCGAGAAAAACCATGAGACTTCCCCTAGATGCGATATGAGGCCTGATTCCCTGCAGTCCATGCAGAGCATTCCCGTGATCCCAATCAAGCAAGTCAGCAGCTTCGAATTGCTTAATGGATCTCGAGATAGTCCCCAGGAACACTGTCACAAGTCTAGACAGACCCTGACATCACCCCAGCAAAGCAAAGCAGGTCCAAGTACCCCACATCACCTCGAGTTGAGGCCCGATTCCCATGCATTGACTCCAGAGCCATCCCCCGTACCCCATTAAACACCACCAGTGGCTTGACTTCCTTCAGGCAACTCCAGAGATGCCCCGAGAACACTGTCCCAAGTCTAGAGGAATACGAACTTCAGCACAGCAACTCGAGGAATGCTCGGTGTACCCCAAATCGTTTCGAGGTGAGAGCTGATTCCATGGCTTAGGCTCAAGACGTATGCCAACTTTCCAGAAGCACCTCAAGCGGAGGATTCTCTCAGCAATAGGTATGTTGGAGGGACCCCCACTTTGCTGCCTCAAGTGGAATATACAGCGAGAAGCCCTAACTTGAAAGGAGGCCGGATTTCCTTGCAGTGTGTTGAATACAGGCTCGTCTTTCATCTCACTACCGGAAGGGATGTCTGAATCCCCTGTGTAGAACTTAGAGAAAGCCCTAGGTCCCTGCCTCATTTTGACGGATTGCCTCACATCCCGTTGACACCTCGAGAGGCACGCGGAGTTCACTGCTTCAAAAGGTGATGATGCCTGACTCGTCTTGAATATTGATAGGAATCCCAAAATCCCTGTGGCTATTTGAAAGGTTCCTTGGGTGTCCTGCCTCACCTCGAGAAGCGTCCATTGTGCCTGCCAAGCCTCGAAGAGATTCCTGAGCTGTCCCTCGTTACTGGACAGGAGTCCTGACGTCACTGAATAAACAGGAGTTTTTAAGGGCCATCCCCGCTGTAACCCGAGTACATACCCCAGGTCCCCGCCGCAAGTCGAGAAAAACCATGAGACTTTCCCCTAGTGGCGAGATGAGGCCCGATTCTCCTGCAGTGCATGCAGAGCAATTCCGTGACCCCCATCAAACAAGTCAGGACCTTCGACTTGCTTAATGGATCTCGAGACAGTCCCCAAGAATACGGTCACATGTCTAGACGGATCCTGAGGTCACCCCATCAACGCAAAGCAGCACCATGTGCCCCACATCAACTCGAGATAATGCCCGATTCCCCTGCATTGACTCCAGAGCCATCCCCCGTTCCACATTAAACACCACCAGTGGCTTGACTTCCTTCAGACAACTCCAGAGATGCCTTGAGAACACTGTCCCAAGTCTAGAGGAACACCATCTTCAGCACAGCAACTCGAGGAATGCTCCGTGTACCCCAAATCGTCTCGAGATGAGAGCTGATTCCCTGTCTTAGGCTCAAGACGTATGCCAACTTTCCAGAAGCACATCAAGGGGAGGCTTCTCTCAGCAATAGGTATGTTGGAGGGACCCCCAGTTTGCTGCCTCAAGTGGAATATGCAGCGAAAAGCCCTAACTTGAAAGGAGGCCGGGTTTCCTTGCAGTGTCTTGAATACAGGCTCGTCTTTCATCTCACAACGGGAAGGAATGTCTGAATCCCCTGTGGAGACCTTAGCGAAAGCCCTAGGTCCCTGCCTCATTTTGACGGATTGCCTCACATCCCGTTGACACCTCGAGAGGCACACGGAGTTCACTGCTTCAAATGTGACGATGCCTGACTCCTCCTGAACATTGATAGGAATCCCAAAATCACTGTGGCTACAGGAAAGGGTTCTTGTGTGCCCTGCCTCACGGCGAGAAGCATCGCTTTTGCCCTGCCAAGGCTCGAAAAGATTCCTGAGGTGTCCCTCATTACTAGACAGGAGTCATGACGTCACTGAATAAACACGTGTTTTCAAGGGCCAAGCCCGCCATAACTCGAGAACATACCCCACGTACCGCCGCGACTCGAGAAAAACCATGAGACTTCCCCTAGATGCGATATGAGGCCTGATTCCCTGCAGTCCATGCAGAGCATTCCCGTGATCCCAATCAAGCAAGTCAGCAGCTTCGAATTGCTTAATGGATCTCGAGAGAGTCCCCACGAACACTGTCACAAGTCTAGACAGACCCTGACATCACCCAAGCAAAGCAAAGCAGGTCCAAGTACCCCACATCACCTCGAGTTGAGGCCCGATTCCCATGCATTGACTCCAGAGCCATCCCCCGTACCCCATTAAACACCACCAGTGGCTTGACTTCCTTCAGGCAACTCCAGAGATGCCCCGAGAACACTGTCCCAAGTCTAGAGGAATACGAACTTCAGCACAGCAACTCGAGGAATGCTCGGTGTACCCCAAATCGTTTCGAGGTGAGAGCTGATTCCATGGCTTAGGCTCAAGACGTATGCCAACTTTCCAGAAGCACCTCAAGCGGAGGATTCTCTCAGCAATAGATATGTTGGAGGGACCCCCACTTTGCTGCCTCAAGTGGAATATACAGCGAGAAGCCCTAACTTGAAAGGAGGCCGGGTTTCCTTGCAGTGGCTTGAATACAGGCTCGTCTTTCATCTCACAACGGGAAGGAATGTCTGAATCCCCTGTGGAGACCTTAGCGAAAGCCCTAGGTCCCTGCCTCATTTTGACGGATTGCCTCACATCCCGTTGACACCTCGAGAGGCACGCGGAATTCACTGCTTCAAAAGGTGATGATGCCTGACTCGTCTTGAATATTGATAGGAATCCCAAAATCCCTGTGGCTATTTGAAAGGTTCCTTGGGTGTCCTGCCTCACCTCGAGAAGCGTCCCTTTTGCCTGCCAAGCCTCGAAGAGATTCCTGAGCTGTCCCTCATTACTGGACAGGAGTCCTGACGTCACTGAATAAACAGGAGTTTTTAAGGGCCATCCCCGCTGTAACCCGAGTACATACCCCAGGTCCCCGCCGCAAGTCGAGAAAAACCATGAGACTTTCCCCTAGTGGCGAGATGAGGCCCGATTCTCCTGCAGTGCATGCAGAGCAATTCCGTGATCCCCATCAAACAAGTCAGGACCTTCGACTTGCTTAATGGATCTCGAGACAGTCCCCAAGAATACGGTCACATGTCTAGATGATTCCTGAGGTCACCCCATCAACGCAAAGCAGCACCATGTGCCCCACATCAACTCGAGATAATGCCCGATTCCCCTGCATTGACTGCAGAGCCATCCCCCGTTCCACATTAAACACCACCAGTGGCTTGACTTCCTTCAGACAACTCCAGAGGTGCCCTGAGAACACTGTCCCAAGTCTAGAGGAACACCATCTTCAGCACAGCAACTCGAGGAATGCTCCGTGTACCCCAAATCGTCTCGAGATGAGAGCTGATTCCCTGGCTTAGGCTCAAGACGTATGCCAACTTTCCAGAAGCACCTCAAGGGGAGGCTTCTCTCAGCAATAGGTATGTTGGAGGGACCCCCAGTTTGCTGCCTCAAATGGAATATGCAGCGAGAAGCCCTAACTTGAAAGGAGCCCGGGTTTCCTTGCAGTGTCTTGAATACAGGCTCGTCTTTCATCTCACAACGGGAAGGAATGTCTGAATCACCTGTGGAGAACTTAGCGAAAGCCCTAGGTCCCTGCCTCATTTTGACGGATTGCCTCACATCCCGTTGACACCTCGAGATGCACCCGGAGTTCACTGCTTCAAATGTGATGATGCCTGACTCCTCCTGAACATTGATAGGAATCCCAAAATCACTGTGGCTACAGGTAAGGGTTCTTGTGTGCCCTGCCTCACCTCGAGAAGCATCCCTTTTGCCCTGCCAAGGCTCGAAAAGATTCCTGAGGTGTCCCTCATTACTAGACAGGAGTCATGACGTCACTGAATAAACACGTGTTTTCAAGGGCCAAGCCCGCCATAACTCGATAACATACCCCACGTACCGCCGCGACTCGAGAAAAACCATGAGACTTCCCCTAGATGCGATATGAGGCCTGATTCCCTGCAGTCCATGCAGAGCATTCCCGTGATCCCAATCAAGCAAGTCAGCAGCTTCGAATTGCTTAATGGATCTCGAGAGAGTCCCCAGGAACACTGGCACAAGTCTAGACAGACCATGACATCACCCCAGCAAAGCAAAGCAGGTCCAAGTACCCCACATCACCTCGAGTTGAGGCCCGATTCCCATGCATTGACTCCAGAGCCATCCCCCGTACCCCATTAAACACCACCAGTGGCTTGACTTCCTTCAGGCAACTCCAGAGATGCCCCGAGAACACTGTCCCAAGTCTAGAGGAATACGAACTTCAGCACAGCAACTCGAGGAATGCTCGGTGTACCCAAATCGTTTCGAGGTGAGAGCTGATTCCATGGCTTAGTCTCAAGACGTATGCCAAGTTTCCAGAAGCACCTCAAGCGGAGGATTCTCTCAACAATAGGTATGTTGGAGGGACCCCCACTTTGCTGCCTCAAGTGGAATATACAGCGAGAAGCCCTAACTTGAAAGGAGGCCGGATTTCCTTGCAGTGTCTTGAATACAGGATCGTCTTTCATCTCACAACCGGAAGGGATGTCTGAATCCCCTGTGGAGAACTTATAGAAAGCCCTAGGTCCCTGCCTCATTTTGACGGATTGCCTCACATCCCGTTGACACCTCGAGAGGCACGCGGAGTTCACTGCTTCAAAAGGTGATGATGCCTGACTCGTCTTGAATATTGATAGGAATCCCAAAATCCCTGTGGCTATTTGAAAGGTTCCTTGGGTGTCCTGCCTCACCTCGAGAAGCGTCCCTTGTGCCTGCCAAGCCTCGAAGAGATTCCTGAGCTGTCCCTCGTTACTGGACAGGAGTCCTGACGTCACTGAATAAACAGGAGTTTTTAAGGGCCATCCCCGCTGTAACCCGAGTACATACCCCAGGTCCCCGCCGCAAGTCGAGAAAAACCATGAGTCTTTCCCCTAGTGGCGAGATGAGGCCCGATTCTCCTGCAGTGCATGCAGAGCAATTCCGTGTTCCCCATCAAACAAGTCAGGACCTTCGACTTGCTTAATGGATCTCGAGACAGTCCCCAAGAATACGGTCACATGTCTAGACGGATCCTGAGGTCACCCCATCAACGCAAAGCAGCACCATGTGCCCCACATCAACTCGAATTAATGCCCGATTCCCCTGCATTGACTCCAGAGCCATCCCCCGTTCCACATTAAACACCACCAGTGGCTTGACTTCCTTCAGACAACTCCAGAGATGCCCTGAGAACACTGTCCCAAGTCTAGAGGAACACCATCTTCAGCACAGCAACTCGAGGAATGCTCCGTGTACCCCAAATCGTCTCGAGATGAGAGCTGATTCCCTGGCTTAGGCTCAAGACGTATGCCAACTTTCCAGAAGCATCTCAAGGGGAGGCTTCCCTCAGCAATAGGTATGTTGGAGGGACCCCCAGTTTGCTGCCTCAAGTGGAATATGCAGCGAGAAGCCCTAACTTGAAAGGAGGCCGGGTTTCCTTGCAGTGTCTTGAATACAGGCTCGTCTTTCATCTCACAACGGGAAGGAATGTCTGAATCCCCTGTGGAGACCTTAGCGAAAGCCCTAGGTCCCTGCCTCATTTTGACGGATTGCCTCACATCCCGTTGACACCTCGAGAGGCACCCGGAGTTCACTGCTTCAAAAGTGATAATGCCTGACTCCTCCTGAACATTGATAGGAATCCCAAAATCACTGTGGCTACAGGAAAGGGTTCTTGTGTGCCCTGCCTCACCTCGAGAAGCATCCCTTTTGCCCTGCCAAGGCTCGAAAAGATTCCTGAGGTGTCCCTCATTACTAGACAGGAGTCATGACGTCACTGAATAAACACGTGTTTTCAAGGGCCAAGCCCGCCATAACTCGAGAACATACCCCACGTACCGCCGCGACTCGAGAAAAACCATGAGACTTCCCCTAGATGCGATATGAGGCCTGATTCCCTGCAGTCCATGCAGAGCATTCCCGTGATCCCAATCAAGCAAGTCAGCAGCTTCGAATTGCTTAATGGATCTCGAGAGAGTCCCCAGGAACACTGTCACAAGTCTAGACAGACCCTGACATCACCCCAGCAAAGCAAAGCAGGTCCAAGTACCCCACATCACCTCGAGTTGAGGCCCGATTCCCATGCATTGACTCCAGAGCCATCCCCCGTACCCCATTAAACACCACCAGTGGCTTGACTTCCTTCAGGCAACTCCAGAGATGCCCCGAGAACACTGTCCCAAGTCTAGAGGAATACGAACTTCAGCACAGCAACTCGAGGAATGCTCCGTGTACCCCAAATCGTTTCGAGGTGAGAGCTGATTCCATGGCTTAGGCTCAAGACGTATGCCAACTTTCCAGAAGCACCTCAAGAGGAGGCTTCTCTCAGCAATAGGTATGTGGGAGGGACCCCGAATTTGCTGCCTCAAGTGGAATATACAGCGAGAAGCCCTAACTTGAAAGGAGGCCGGATTTCCTTGCAGTGGCTTGAATACAGGCTCGTCTTTCATCTCACAGCATGAAGGGATGTCTGAATCCCCTGTGGAGACCTTAGAGAAAGCTCTAGGTCCCTGCCTCATTTTGACAGAATGCCTCACATCCCGTTGACACTTCGAGAGGCACGCGGAATTCACTGCTTCAAAAGGTGATGATGCCTGACTCGTCTTGAATATTGATAGGAATCCCAAAATCCCTGTGGCTATTTGAAAGGTTCCTTGGGTGTCCTGCCTCACCTCGAGAAGCGTCCCTTGTGCCTGCCAAGCCTCGAAGAGATTCCTGAGCTGTCCCTCGTTACTGGACAGGAGTCCTGACGTCACTGAATAAACAGGAGTTTTTAAGGGCCAACCCGCTGTAACCCGAGTACATACCCCAGGTCCCCCCGCAAGTCGAGAAAAACCATGAGACTTTCCCCTAGTGGCGAGATGAGGCCCGATTCTCCTGCAGTGCATGCAGAGCAATTCCGTGATCCCCATCAAACAAGTCAGGACCTTCGACTTGCTTAATGGATCTCGAGACAGTCCCCAAGAATACGGTCACATGTCTAGATGGATCCTGAGGTCACCCCATCAACGCAAAGCAGCACCATGTGCCCCATATCAACTCGAGATAATGCCCGATTCCCCTGCATTGATTGCAGAGCCATCCCCCGTTCCACATTAAACACCACCAGTGGCTTGACTTCCTTCAGACAACTCCAGAGATGCCCTGAGAACACTGTCCCAAGTCTAGAGGAACACCATCTTCAGCACAGCAACTCGAGGAATGCTCCGTGTACCCCAAATCGTCTCGAGATGAGAGCTGATTCCCTGGCTTAGGCTCAAGACGTATGCCAACTTTCTAGAAGCACCTCAAGGGGAGGCTTCCCTCAGCAATAGGTATGTTGGAGGGACCCCCAGTTTGCTGCCTCAAGTGGAATATGCAGCGAGAAGCCCTAACTTGAAAGGAGGCCGGGTTTCCTTGCAGTGTCTTGAATACAGGCTCGTCTTTCATCTCACAAAGGGAAGGAATGTCTGAATCCCCTGTGGAGACCTTAGCGAAAGCCCTAGGTCCCTGCCTCATTTTGACGGATTGCCTCACATCCCGTTGACACCTCGAGAGGCACCCGGAGTTCACTGCTTCAAATGTGATAATGCCTGAATCCTCCTGAACATTGATAGGAATCCCAAAATCACTGTGGCTACAGGTAAGGGTTCTTGTGTGCCCTGCCTCACCTCGAGAAGCATCCCTTTTGCCCTGCCAAGGCTCGAAAAGATTCCTGAGGTGTCCCTCATTACTAGACAGGAGTCATGACGTCACTGAATAAACACGTGTTTTCAAGGGCCAAGCCCGCCATAACTCGAGAACATACCCCACGTACCGCCGCGACTCGAGAAAAACCATGAGACTTCCCCTAGATGCGATATGAGGCCTGATTCCCTGCAGTCCATGCAGAGCATTCCCGTGATCCCAATCAAGCAAGTCAGCAGCTTCGAATTGCTTAATGGATCTGGAGAGAGTCCCCAGGAACACTGTCACAAGTCTAGACAGACCCTGACATCACCCCAGCAAAGCAAAGCAGGTCCAAGTACCCCACATCACCTCGAGTTGAGGCCCGATTCCCATGCATTGACTCCAGAGCCATCCCCCGTACCCCATTAAACACCACCAGTGGCTTGACTTCCTTCAGGCAACTCCAGAGATGCCCCGAGAACACTGTCCCAAGTCTAGAGGAATACGAACTTCAGCACAGCAACTCGAGGAATGCTCCGTGTACCCCAAATCGTTTCGAGGTGAGAGCTGATTCCATGGCTCAGGCTCAAGACGTATGCCAAGTTTCCAGAAGCACCTCAAGCGGAGGATTCTCTCAACAATAGGTATGTTGGTTGGACCCCCACTTTGCTGCCTCAAGTGGAATATATAGCGAGAAGCCCTAACTTGAAAGGAGGCCGGATTTCCTTGCAGTGTCTTGAATACAGGATCGTCTTTCATCTCACAACCGGAAGGGATGTCTGAATCCCCTGTGGAGAACTTAGAGAAAGCCCTAGGTCCCTGCCTCATTTTGACGGATTGCCTCACATCCCGTTGACACCTCGAGAGGCATGCGGAGTTCACTGCTTCAAAAGGTGATGATGCCTGACTCGTCTTGAATATTGATAGGAATCCCAAAATCCCTGTGGCTATTTGAAAGGTTCCTTGGGTGTCCTGCCTCACCTCGAGAAGCGTCCCTTGTGCCTGCCAAGCCTCGAAGAGATTCCTGAGCTGTCCCTCGTTACTGGACAGGAGTCCTGACGTCAATGAATAAACAGGAGTTTTTAAGGGCCATCCCCGCTGTAACCCGAGTACATACCCCAGGTCCCCGCCGCAAGTCGAGAAAAACCATGAGTCTTTCCCCTAGTGGCGAGATGAGGCCCGATTCTCCTGCAGTGCATGCAGAGCAATTCCGTGATCCCCATCAAACAAGTTAGGACCTTCGACTTGCTTAATGGATCTCGAGACAGTCCCCAAGAATACGGTCACATGTCTAGACGGATCCTGAGGTCACCCCATCAACGCAAAGCAGCACCATGTGCCCCACTTCAACTCGAGATAATGCCCGATTCCCCTGCATTGACTCCAGAGCCATCCCCCGTTCCACATTAAACACCACCAGTGGCTTGACTTCCTTCAGACAACTCCAGAGGTGCCCTGAGAACACTGTCCCAAGTCTAGAGGAACACCATCTTCAGCACAGCAACTCGAGGAATGCTCCGTGTACCCCAAATCGTCTCGAGATGAGAGCTGATTCCCTGGCTTAGGCTCAAGACGTATGCCAACTTTCCAGAAGCACCTCAAGGGGAGGCTTCCCTCAGCAATAGGTATGTTGGAGGGACCCCCAGTATGCTGCCTCAAGTGGAATATGCAGCGAGAAGCCCTAACTTGAAAGGAGGCCGGGTTTCCTTGCAGTGTCTTGAATACAGGCTCGTCTTTCATCTCACAACGGGAAGGAATGTCTGAATCCCCTGTGGAGACCTTAGCGAAAGCCCTAGGTCCCTGCCTCATTTTGACGGATTGCCTCACATCCCGTTGACACCTCGAGAGGCACCCGGAGTTCACTGCTTCAAATGTGATAATGCCTGACTCCTCCTGAACATTGATAGGAATCCCAAAATCACTGTGGCTACAGGAAAGGGTTCTTGTGTGCCCTGCCTCACCTCGAGAAGCATCCCTTTTGCCCTGCCAAGGCTCGAAAAGATTCCTGAGGTGTCCCTCATTACTAGACAGGAGTCATGACATCACTGAATAAACACGTGTTTTCAAGGGCCAAGCCCGCCATAACTCGAGAACATACCCCACGTACCGCCGCGACTCGAGAAAAACCATGAGACTTCCCCTAGATGCGATATGAGGCCTGATTCCCTGCAGTCCATGCAGAGCATTCCCGTGATCCCAATCAAGCAAGTCAGCAGCTTCGAATTGCTTAATGGATCTCGAGAGAGTCCCCAGGAACACTGTCACAAGGCTAGACAGACCCTGACATCACCCCAGCAAAGCAAAGCAGGTCCAAGTACCCCACATCACCTCGAGTTGAGGCCCGATTCCCATGCATTGACTCCAGAGCCATCCCCCGTACCCCATTAAACACCACCAGTGGCTTGACTTCCTTCAGGCAACTACAGAGATGCCCCGAGAACACTGTCCCAAGTCTAGAGGAATACGAACTTCAGCATAGCAATTCGAGGAATGCTCCGTGTACCCCAAATCTTTTCGAGGTGAGAGCTGATTCCATGGCTTAGGCTCAAGACGTATGCCAGCTTTCCAGAAGCCCCTCAAGAGGAGGCTTCTCACAGCAATAGGTATGTGGGAGGTACCCCGAATTTGCTGCCTCAAGTGGAATATACAGCGAGAAGCCCTAACTTGAAAGGAGGCCGGATTTCCTTGCAGTGGCTTGAATACAGGCTCGTCTTTCATCTCACAGCATGAAGGGATGTCTGAATCCCCTGTGGAGACCTTAAAGAAAGCTCTAGGTCCCTGCCTCATTTTGACGGAATACCTCACATCACGTTGACACTTCGAGAGGCACGCGGAATTCACTGCTTCAAAAGGTGATGATGCCTGACTCGTCTTGAATATTGATAGGAATCCCAAAATCCCTGTGGCTATTTGAAAGGTTCCTTGGATGTCCTGCCTCACCTCGAGAAGCGTCCCTTGTGCCTGCCAAGCCTCGAAGAGATTCCTGAGCTGTCCCTCGTTACTGGACAGGAGTCCTGACGTCACTGAATAAACAGGAGTTTTTAAGGGCCATCCCCGCTGTAACCCGAGTACATACCCCAGGTCCCCGCCGCAAGTCGAGAAAAACCATGAGACTTTCCCCTAGTGGCGAGATGAGGCCCGATTCTCCTGCAGTGCATGCAGAGCAATTCCGTGATCCCCATCAAACAAGTCAGGACCTTCGACTTGCTTAATGGATCTCGAGACAGTCCCCAAGAATACTGTCACATGTCTAGACGGATCCTGAGGTCACCCCATCAACGCAAAGCAGCACCATGTGCCCCACATCAACTCGAGATAATGCCCGATTCCCCTGCATTGACTCCAGAGCCATCCCCCGTTCCACATTAAACACGACCAGTAGTTTGACTTCCTTCAGGCAACTCCAGAGACGCCCTGAGAACACTGTCCCAAGTCTAGAGAAACACCATCTTCAGCACAGCAACTCGAGGAATGCTCCGTGTACCCCAAATCCTTTCGAGATGAGAGCTGATTCCCTGGCTTAGGCTCAAGACGTATGCCATCTTTCCAGAAGCACCTCAAGGGGAGACTTCTCTCAGCAATAGGTATGTTGGAGGGACCCCCAGTTTGCTGCCTCAAGAGGAATATACAGCGAAAAGCCCTAACTTGAAAGGAGGCCGGATTTCCTTGCAGTGTCTTGAATACAGGCTCGTCTTTCATCTCACAACCGGAAGGAATGTCTGAATCCTCTGTGGAGACCTTAGAGAAAGCCCTAGGTCCCTGCCTCATCTTGAAGGAATGTCTCACATCCCGTTGACACCTCGAGAGGCACACGGAGTTCACTGCTTCAAAATGTGATGATGCCTGACTCCTCTTGAACATTGATAGGAATCCCTAAATCACTGTAGCTACAGGACAGGGTTCTTGGGTGCCCTGCCTCACCTCGAGAAGCATCCCTTTTGCCTGCCAAGCCTCGAAGAGATTCCTGAGGTGTCTCTCGTTACTAGACAGGAGTCCTGACGTCACTGAATAAACACATGTTTTGAAGGGCCATCCCCGCCATAACTCAAGAACATACCCCAGGTCCCGCCGCAACTCGAGAAAAACCATGAGACATCCCCTAGATGCGATATGAGGCCTGATTCCCTGCAGTCCATGCAGAGCATTCCCATGATCCCCATCAAGCAAGTCAGGAGCTTCGACTTCCTTAATCGAACTCGAGAAAGTCCCCAGGAACACTGTCACAAGACTAGACAGACCCTGAGGTCACCCCAGCAATGTAAAGCAGCTCCAAGTACGCCACATCAACTCGCAATGAGGCCCGATTCCCCTGCATTGACTCCAGAGCCATCCCCCGTACCACATTAAACACCACCAGTGGCTTGACTTCCTTCAGGCAACTCCAGAGATGCCCTGAGAACACTGTCCCAAGTCTAGAGGAATACGAACTTCAGCACAGCAACTCGAGGAAAGCTCCGTGTACCCCCAATCGTTTCGAGGTGAGAGCTGATTCCATGGCTTAGGCTCAAGACGTATGCCAACTTTCCAGAAGCACCTCAAGAGGAGGCTTCTCTCAGCAGTATGTATGTGGGAGGGACCCCGAGTTTGCTGCCTCAAGTGGAATATGCAGCGAGAAGCCCTAACTTGAAAGGAGGCCGGGTTTCCTTGCAGTGTCTTGAATACAGGCTCGTCTTTCATCTCACAACGGGAAGGAATGTCTGAATCCCCTGTGGAGACCTTAGCGAAAGCCCTAGGTCTCTGCCTCATTTTGACGGATTGCCTCACATCCCTTTGACACCTCGAGAGGCACCCGGAGTTCACTGCTTCAAATGTGACGATGCCTGACTCCTCCTGAACATTGATAGGAATCCCAAAATCACTGTGGCTATTTGAAAGGTTCCTTGGGTGTCCTGCCTCACCTCGAGAAGCGTCCCTTGTGCCTGCCAAGCCTCGAAGAGATTCCTGAGCTGTCCCTCATTACTGGACAGGAGTCCTGACGTCACTGAATAAACAGGAGTTTTTAAGGGCCATCCCCGCTGTAACCCGAGTACATACCCCAGGTCCCCGCCGCAAGTCGAGAAAAACCATGAGACTTTCCCCTAGTGGCGAGATGAGGCCCGATTCTCATGCAGTGCATGCAGAGCAATTCTGTGATCCCCATCAAACAAGTCAGGAACTTCGACTTGCTTAATGGATCTCGAGACAGTCCCCAAGAATACTGTCACATGTCTAGACGGATCCTGAGGTCACCCCATCAACGCAAAGCAGCACCATGTGCCCCACATCAACTCGAGATAATGCCCGATTCCCCTGCATTGACTCCAGAGCCATCCCCCGTTCCCCAATAAACACCACCAGTGGCTTGACTTCCTTCAGACAACTCCAGAGATGCCCTGAGAACACTGTCCCAAGTCTAGAGGAACACCATCTTCAGCACAGCAACTCGAGGAATGCTCCGTGTACCCCAAATCGTCTCGAGATGAGAGCTGATTCCCTGGCTTAGGCTCAAGACGTATGCCAACTTTCCAGAAGCACCTCAAGGGGAGGCTTCTCTCAGCAATAGGTATGTTGGATGGACCCCCAGTTTGCTGCCTCAAGTGGAATATGCAGCGAGAAGCCCTAACTTGAAAGGAGGCCGGGTTTCCTTGCAGTGTCTTGAATACAGGCTCGTCTTTCATCTCACAACGGGAAGGAATGTCTGAATCCCCTGTGGAGACCTTAGCGAAAGCCCTAGGTCCCTGCCTCATTTTGACGGATTGCCTCACATCCCCTTGACACCTCGAGAGGCACCCGGAGTTCACTGCTTCAAATGTGACGATGCCTGACTCCTCCTGAACATTGATAGGAATCCCAAAATCACTGTGGCTACAGGAAAGGGTTCTTGTGTGCCCTGCGTCACCTCGAGAAGCATCCCTTTTGCCCTGCCAAGGCTCGAAAAGATTCCTGAGGTGTCCCTCATTACTAGACAGGAGTCATGACGTCACTGAATAAACACGTGTTTTCAAGGGCCATGCCCGCCATAACTCGAGAACATACCCCACGTACCGCCGCGACTCGAGAAAAACCATGAGACTTCCCCTAGATGCGATATGAGGCCTGATTCCCTGCAGTCCATGCAGAGCATTCCCGTGATCCCAATCAAGCAAGTCAGCAGCTTCGAATTTCTTAATGGATCTCGAGAGAGTCCCCAGGAACACTGTCACAAGTCTAGACAGACCCTGACATCAACCCAGCAAAGCAAAGCAGGTCCAAGTACCCCACATCACCTCGAGTTGAGGCCCGATTCCCATGCATTGACTCCAGAGCCATCCCCCGTTCCACATTAAACACGACCAGTAGCTTGACTTCCTTCAGGCAACTCCAGAGACGCCCTGAGAACACTGTCCCAAGTCTAGAGAAACACCATCTTCAGCACAGCAACTCGAGGAATGCTCCGTGTACCCCAAATCCTTTCGAGATGAGAGCTGATTCCGTGGCTTAGGCTCAAGACGTATGCCAACTTTCCAGAAGCACCTCAAGGGGAGACTTCCCTCAGCAATAGGTATGTTGGAGGGACCCCCAGTTTGCTGCCTCAAGAGGAATATACAGCGAAAAGCCCTAACTTGAAAGGAGGCCGGATTTCCTTGCAGTGTCTTGAATACAGGCTCGTCTTTCATCTCACAACCGGAAGGAATGTCTGAATCCTCTGTGGAGACCTTAGAGAAAGCCCTAGGTCCCTGCCTCATTTTGAAGGAATGTCTCACATCCCGTTGACACCTCGAGAGGCACACGGAGTTCACTGCTTCAAAATATGATGATGCCTGACTCCTCTTGAACATTGATAGGAATCCCTAAATCACTGTAGCTACAGGACAGGGTTCTTGGGTGCCCTGCCTCACCTCGAGAAGAATCCCTTTTGCCTGCCAAGCCTCGAAGAGATTCCTGAGGTGTCTCTCGTTACTAGACAGGAGTCCTGACGTCACTGAATAAACACATGTTTTGAAGGGCCATCCCCGCCATAACTCAAGAACATACCCCAGGTCCCGCCGCAACTCGAAAAAAACCATGAGACTTCCCCTAGATGCGATATGAGGCCTGATTCCCTGCAGTCCATGCAGAGCATTTCCATGATCCCCATCAAGCAAGTCAGGAGCTTCGACTTCCTTAATTGAACTCGAGAAAGTCCCCAGGAACACTGTCACAAGACTAGACAGACCCTGAGGTCACCCCAGCAATATAAAGCAGCTCCAAGTACCCCACATCAACTCGCAATGAGGCCCGATTCCCCTGTATTGACTCCAGAGCCATCCCCCGTACCACATTAAACACCACCAGTGGCTTGACTTCCTTCAGGCAACTCCAGAGATGCCCTGAGAACACTGTCCCAAGTCTAGAGGAATACGAACTTCAGCACAGCAACTCGAGGAATGCTCCGTGTACCCCAAATCGTTTCGAGGTGAGAGCTGATTCCATGGCTTAGGCTCAAGACGTATGCCAACTTTCCAGAAGACCCTCAAGAGGAGGCTTCTCTCAGCAGTATGTATGTGGGAGGGACCCCGAGTTTGCGGCCTCAAGTGGAATATACAGCGAGAAGCCCTAACTTGAAACGAGGACGGATTTCCTTGCAGTGGCTTGAATACAGGCTCGTCTTTCATCTCACAGCATGAAGGGATGTCTGAAACCCCTGTGGAGAAATTAGAGAAAGCTCTAGGTCCCTGCCTCATTTTGAGGGAATGCCTCACATCCCGTTGTCAACTCGAGAGGCACGCGGAGTTCACTGCTTCAAAATGTGACGATGCTTGACTCGTCTTGAATATTGATAGGAATCAAAAAATCACTGTGGCTACTGGAAAGGGTCCTTGGGTGCCCTGCCTCACCTCGAGAAGCATACCTTTTGACCTGCCAAGCCTCGAAGAGATTCCTGAGGTTTCCCTTGTTACTAGACAGGAGTCCTGACGGCACTGAATAAACACGTGTTTTGAAGGGCCATCCCCGCGGTAACTCGAGAAGATACCCCAGGTCCCCAGCGCAACTTTTGAGAAACCATGAGACTTCCCCCAAGATGCGAGATGAGTCCTGATTCCCTGCAGTGCATGCAGGGTATTCCCGTGATCCCCACCAAACAAGTCAGGAGCTTCGACTTGCTTAATGGATCTCGAGACAGTCCCCAAGAACACTGTCACATGTCTAGACGGACCCTGAGGTCATCCCAGCAACGTAAAGCAGCTCCATGTGCCCCAAATCAACCCGAAATGTGGCCCGATTCCCCTGCATTGACTCCAGAGCCATCCCCAGTTCCCCATTAAACAAGACCACTGGCTTGACTTCCTTCAGGCAACTCCAGACATGCCCCGAGAACACTGTCCCAAGACTAGAGGAACACCAACTTCAGCACAGCAACTCGAGGAATGCTCCGTGTACCACAAATCGTCTCGAGATGAGAGCTGAATCGCTGGCTTAGGCTCAAGACGTATGCCAACTTTCCAGAAGCACCTCAAGAGGAGGCTTCTCTCAGCAATAGGTATGTTCGAGGGACCCCGAGTTTGCTACCTCAAGTGGAATATACAGCGAGAAGCCCTAACTTGAAAGGAGGCCCGGTTTCCTTGCAGTGTCTTGAATACAGGCTCGTCTTTCATCTCACAACAGGAAGGGATGTCTGAATCCCCTGTGGAGACCTAAGAGAAAGCCCTAGGTCCCTGCCTCATTTTGACAGAATGTCTCACATCCCGTTGACACCTCGAGAGGCACACGGAGTTCACTGCTTCAAAATGTGATGATGCCTGACTCCTCCTGAACATTGATAGGAATCCCAAAATCACTGTAGGTACAGGACAGGGTTCTTGGGTGCCCTGCCTCACCTCGAGAAGCATCCCTTTTGCCCTGCCAAGCCTCGAAGAGATTCCTGAGGTGTCTCTCATTACTAGACAGGAGTCCTGACGTCACTGAATAAACACGTGTTTTGAAGGGCCATCCCCGCCGTAACTCGAGAACATACCCCAGTTCGCGCCGCAACTCGAGTAAAACCATGAGACTTCCCCTAGAGGCGAGATGAGGCCTGATTCCCTGCAGTCCATGAAGAGCATTCCCGTGATCCCCATCAAACAAGTCAGCAGCTTCGACTTGCTTAATGGATCTCCAGAGAGTCCCCAGGAACACTGTCAAAAGTCTAGACAGACCCTGAGGTCACCCCAGCAATGCAAAGCAGCTGCAAGTACCCCACATCAACTCGAGATGAGGCCCGATTCCCATGCATTGACTCCAGAGCCATCCCCCGTACCCCATTAAACACAACCATTGGCTTGACTTCCTTCCGGCAACACCAGAGATACCCCGAGAACACTGTCCCAAGTCTAGAGGTATACGAACTTCAGCACAGCAACTCGAGGAATGCTCCTTGTACCAAATCGTTTCGAGCTGAGAGCTGATTCCATGGCTTAGGCTCAAGACGTATGCCAACTTTCCAGAAGCCCCTCAAGAGGAGGCTTCTCTCAGCAATAGGTATGTGGGAGGGACCCCGAGTTGCTGCCTCAAGTGGAATATACAACCAGAAGCCCTAACTTGAAAGGAGGCCGGATTTCCTTGCAGTGGCTTGAATACAGGCTCGTCTTTCATCTCACAGCACGAAGGGGTGTCTGAAGCCCCTGTGTAGACCTTAGAGAAAGCTCTAGGTCCCTGCCCCATTTTGATGGAATGCCTCACATCCCATTGACACCTCGAGAGGCACGCGAAGTTCACTGCTTCAAAAGGTGATGATGCCTGACTCGTCTTGAATATTGATAGGAATCCCAAAATCACTGTGGCTACTGGAAAGGGTCCTTGGGTGCCCTGCCTCACCTCGAGAAGCATACCTTTTGACCTGCCAAGCCTCGAAGAGATTCCTGAGGTGTCCCTCGTTACTAGACAGGAGTCCTGACGGCACTGAATAAACACGTGTTTTCAAGGGCCATCCCCGCCGTAACTCGAGAAGATACCCCAGGTCCCCCGCGCAACATGAGAGAAACCATGAGACTTCCCCCTACATGCGAGATGAGTCCTGATTCCCTGCAGTGCATGCAGAGTATTCCCGTGATCCCCATAGAACAAGTCAGGAGCTTCGAATTGCTTAATGGATCTCGAGACAGTCCCCAAGAACACTGTCACAAGTCTAGACGGACCCTGAGGTCACCCCAGCAACGCAAAGCAGCTCCATGTGCCCCAAATCAACCCGAGATGTGGCCCGATTCCCCTGCATTGACTCCAGAGCCATCCCCAGTTCCCCATTAAACAAGACAACTGGCAAGACTTCCTTCATGCAACTCCAGAGATGCCCAGCAAACACTCTCCCAAGACTAGAGGAACACCAACTTCAGCACAGCAACTCGAGGAATGCTCCGTGTACCACAAATCGTCTCGAGATGAGAGCTGAATCCCTGGCTTAGGCTCAAGACGTATGCCAACTTTCCAGAAGCACCTCAAGAGGAGGATTCTCTCAGCAATAGGTATGTTGGAGGGACACCGAGTTTGCTGCCTCAAGTGGAATATACAGCGAGAAGCCCTAACTTGAAAGGAGGACGGATTTTCTTGCTGTGGCTTGAATACAGGCTCGTCTTTCATCTCACAGAATGAAGGGATGTCTGAATCCCCTGTGGAGTCCTTAGAGAAAGCTATAGGTCCCTACCTCATTTTGACGGAATGCCTCACTTCCCGTTGTCACCTCCAGAGGCACGCGGAGTTCACTGCTTCAAAAGGTGACGATGCCTGACTCCTCTAAAATATTGATAGGAATCCCAAAATCCCTGTGGCTATTGGAAACGTTCCTTGGGTGCCCTGCCTCAAGTGGAGAAGCGTCCCTTGTGCCCTGCCAAGCCTCAATGAGATTCCTGAGCTGTCTCTCGTTACTGGACAGGAGTTCTGACGTCACTGAATAAACACGAGTTTTGAAGGCCATCCCCGCCGTAACCCGAGTACATACCCCAGGTCCCCGCTGCAAGTCGAGAAAAACCATGAGACTTTCCCCTAGAGGCGAGATGAGGCCCGATTCTCCTGCAGTGCATGCAGAGCAATTCCGTGATCCCCATCAAACAAGTCAGAAGCTTCGACTTGCTTAATGGATCTCGAGACAGTCCCCAAGAACACTGTCACATGTCTAGACGGATCCTGAGGTCACCCCATCAAGGCAAAGCAGCACCATGTGCCCCAAATCAACTCGAGATAATGCCCGATTCCCCTGCATTGACTCCAGAGCTATCCCACCTTCCACATTAAACACGACCAGTGGCTTGACTTCCTTCAGGCAACTCCAGAGACGCCCTGAGAACACTGTCCCAAGTCTAGAGGAACACCATCTTCAGCACAGCAACTCGAGGAATGCTCCGTGTACCCAAAATCGTCTCGAGATGAGAGGTGATTCCCTGGCTTAGGCTCAAGACGTATGCCAACTTTCCAGAAGCACCTCAAGGGGAGCCTTCTCTCAGCAATAGGTATGTTGGAGGGACCCCCAGTTTGCTGCCTCAAAAGGAATATACAGCGAGAAGCCCTAACTTGAAAGGAGGCCGGATTTCCTTGCAGTGTCTTGAATACAGGCTCGTCGTTCATCTCACAACCGGAAGGAATGTCTGAATCCTCTGTGGAGACCTTAGAGAAAGCGCTAGGTCCCTGCCTCATTTTGACGGAATGCCTCACATCCCGTTGACACTTCGAGAGGCACGCGGAGTTCACTGCTTCAAAAGGTGATGATGCCTCACTCGTCTTGAATATTGATAGGAATCCCAAAATCACTGTGGCTACTGGAAAGGGTCCTTGGGTGCCCTGCGTCACCTCGAGAAGCATACCTTTTGACCTGCCAAGCCTCGAAGAGATTCCTGAGGTGTCCCTCGTTACTAGACAGGAGTCCTGACGGCACTGAATAAACACGTGTTTTGAAGGGCCATCCCTGCCGTAACTCGAGAAGATACCCCAGGTCCCCCGCGCAACTTGAGAGAAACCATGAGACTTCCCCCTAGATGCGAGATGAGCCCTGATTCCCTGCAGTGCATGCAGAGTATTCCCGTGATCCCCATCAAACAAGTCAGGAGCTTCGACTTGCTTAATGGATCTCGAGACAGTCCCCAAGAACTCTGTCACAAGTCTCGACGGACCCTGAGGTCACCCCAGCAACGCAAAGCAGCTCCATGTGCCCCAAATCAACCCGAGATGTGGCCCGATTCCCCTGCATTGACTCCAGAGCCATCCCCAGTTCCCCATTAAACAAGACAACTGGCTAGACTTCCTTCAGGCAACTCCAGAGATGCCCCGCAAACACTCTCCCAAGACTAGAGGAACACCAACTTCAGCACAGCAACTCGAGGAATGCTCCGTGTACCACAAATCGTCTCGAGATGAGAGCTGAATCCCTGGCTTAGGCTCAAGACGTATGCCAACTTTCCAGAAGCACCTCAAGAGGAGGATTCTCTCAGCAATAGGTATATTGGAGGGACACTGAGTTTGCTGGCTCAAGTGGAATATACAGCGAGAAGCCCTAACTTGAAAGGAGGCCGGGTTTCCTTGCAGTGTCTTGAATACAGGCTCGTCTTTCATCTCACAACGGGAAGGAATGTCTGAATCCCCTGTGGAAACCTTAGCGAAAGCCCTAGGTCCCTGCCTCATTTTGACGGATTGCCTCACATCCCGTTGACACCTCGAGAGGCACGCGGAATTCACTGCTTCAAAAGGTGATGATGCCTGACTCGTCTTGAATATTGATAGGAATCCCAAAATCCCTGTGGCTATTTGAAAGGTTCCTTGGGTGTCCTGCCTCACCTCGAGAAGCGTCCCTTTTGCCTGCCAAGCCTCGAAGAGATTCCTGAGCTGTCCCTCGTTACTGGACAGGAGTCCTGACGTCACTGAATAAACAGGAGTTTTTAAGGGCCATCCCCGCTGTAACCCGAGTACATACCCCAGGTCCCCGCCGCAAGTCGAGAAAAACCATGAGACTTTCCCCTAGTGGCGAGATGAGGCCCGATTCTCCTGCAGTGCATGCAGAGCAATTCCGTGATCCCCATCAAACAAGTCAGGACCTTCGACTTGCTTAATGGATCTCGAGACAGTACCCAAGAACACTGTTACATGTCTAGATGGATCCTGAGGTCACCCCATCAACGCAAAGCAGCACCATGTGCCCCACATCAACTCGAGATAATGCCCGATTCCCCTGCATTGACTGCAGAGCCATCCCCCGTTCCACATTAAACACCACCAGTGGCTTGACTTCCTTCAGACAACTCCAGAGATGCCCTGAGAACACTGTCCCAAGTCTAGAGGAACACCATCTTCAGCACAGCAACTCGAGGAATGCTCCGTGTACCCCAAATCGTCTCGAGATGAGAGCTGATTCCCTGGCTTAGGCTCAAGACGTATGCCAACTTTCCAGAAGCACCTCAAGGGGAGGCTTCTCTCAGCAATAGGTATGTTGGAGGGACCCCCAGTTTGCTGCCTCAAGTGGAATATGCAGCGAGAAGCCCTAACTTGAAAGGAGCCCGGGTTTCCTTGCAGTGTCTTGAATACAGGCTCGTCTTTCATCTCACAACGGGAAGGAATGTCTGAATCACCTGTGGAGAACTTAGCGAAAGCCCTAGGTCCCTGCCTCATTTTGACGGATTGCCTCACATCCCGTTGACACCTCGAGAGGCACCCGGAGTTCACTGCTTCAAATGTGATGATGCCTGACTCCTCCTGAACATTGACAGGAATCCCAAAATCACTGTGGCTACAGGAAAGGGTTCTTGTGTGCCCTGCCTCACCTCGAGAAGCATCCCTTTTGCCCTGCCAAGGCTCGAAAAGATTCCTGAGGTGTCCCTCATTACTAGACAGGAGTCATGACGTCACTGAATAAACACGTGTTTTCAAGGGCCAAGCCCGCCATAACTCGAGAACATACCCCACGTACCGCCGCGACTCGAGAAAAACCAGGAGACTTCCCCTAGATGCGATATGAGGCCTGATTCCCTGCAGTCCATGCAGAGCATTCCCGTGATCCCAATCAAGCAAGTCAGCAGCTTCGAATTGCTTAATGGATCTCGAGAGAGTCCCCAGGAACACTGGCACAAGTCTAGACAGACCATGACATCACCCCAGCAAAGCAAAGCAGGTCCAAGTACCCCACATCACCTCGAGTTGAGGCCCGATTCCCATGCATTGACTCCAGAGCCATCCCCCGTACCCCATTAAACACCACCAGTGGCTTGACTTCCTTCAGGCAACTCCAGAGATGCCCCGAGAACACTGTCCCAAGTCTAGAGGAATACGAACTTCAGCACAGCAACTCGAGGAATGCTCGGTGTACCCCAAATCGTTTCGAGGTGAGAGCTGATTCCATGGCTTAGGCTCAAGACGTATGCCAAGTTTCCAGAAGCACCTCAAGCGGAGGATTCTCTCAACAATAGGTATGTTGGAGGGACCCCCACTTTGCTGCCTCAAGTGGAATATACAGCGAGAAGCCCTAACTTGAAAGGAGGCCGGATTTCCTTGCAGTGTCTTGAATACAGGATCGTCTTTCATCTCACAACCGGAAGGGATGTCTGAATCCCCTGTGGAGAACTTAGAGAAAGCCCTAGGTCCCTGCCTCATTTTGACGGATTGCCTCACATCCCGTTGACACCTCGAGAGGCACGCGGAGTTCACTGCTTCAAAAGGTGATGATGCCTGACTCGTCTTGAATATTGATAGGAATCCCAAAATCCCTGTGGCTATTTGAAAGGTTCCTTGGGTGTCCTGCCTCACCTCGAGAAGCGTCCCTTGTGCCTGCCAAGCCTCGAAGAGATTCCTGAGCTGTCCCTCGTTACTGGACAGGAGTCCTGACGTCACTGAATAAACAGGAGTTTTTAAGGGCCATCCCCGCTGTAACCCGAGTACATACCCCAGGTCCCCGCCGCAAGTCGAGAAAAACCATGAGACTTTCCCCTAGTGGCGAGATGAGGCCCGATTCTCCTGCAGTGCATGCAGAGCAATTCCGTGATCCCCATCAAACAAGTCAGGACCTTCGACTTGCTTAATGGATCTCGAGACAGTCCCCACGAATACGGTCACATGTCTAGACGGATCCTGAGGTCACCCCATCAACGCAAAGCAGCACCATGTGCCCCACATCAACTCGAATTAATGCCCGATTCCCCTGCATTGACTCCAGAGCCATCCCCCGTTCCACATTAAACACCACCAGTGGCTTGACTTCCTTCAGACAACTCCAGAGATGCCCTGAGAACACTGTCCCAAGTCTAGAGGAACACCATCTTCAGCACAGCAACTCGAGGAATGCTCCGTGTACCCCAAATCGTCTCGAGATGAGAGCTGATTCCCTGGCTTAGGCTCAAGACGTATGCCAACTTTCCAGAAGCATCTCAATGGGAGGCTTCCCTCAGCAATAGGTATGTTGGAGGGACCCCCAGTTTGCTCCCTCAAGTGGAATATGCAGCGAGAAGCCCTAACTTGAAAGGAGGCCGGGTTTCCTTGCAGTGTCTTGAATACAGGCTCGTCTTTCATCTCACAACGGGAAGGAATGTCTGAATCCCCTGTGGAGACCTTAGCGAAAGCCCTAGGTCCCTGCCTCATTTTGACGGATTGCCTCACATCCCGTTGACACCTCGAGAGGCACCCGGAGTTCACTGCTTCAAATGTGATAATGCCTGACTCCTCCTGAACATTGATAGGAATCCCAAAATCACTGTGGTTACAGGAAAGGGTTCTTGTGTGCCCTGCCTCACCTCGAGAAGCATCCCTTTTGCCCTGCCAAGGCTCGAAAAGATTCCTGAGGTGTCCCTCATTACTAGACAGGAGTCATGACGTCACTGAATAAACACGTGTTTTCAAGGGCCAAGCCCGCCATAACTCGAGAACATACCCCACGTACCGCCGCGACTCGAGAAAAACCATGAGACTTCCCCTAGATGCGATATGAGGCCTGATTCCCTGCAGTCCATGCAGAGCATTCCCGTGATCCCAATCAAGCAAGTCAGCAGCTTCGAATTGCTTAATGGATCTCAAGAGAGTCCCCAGGAACACTGTCACAAGTCTAGACAGACCCTGACATCACCCCAGCAAAGCAAAGCAGGTCCAAGTACCCCACATCACCTCGAGTTGAGGCCCGATTCCCATGCATTGACTCCAGAGCCATCCCCCGTACCCCATTAAACACCACCAGTGGCTTGACTTCCTTCAGGCAACTCCAGAGATGCCCCGAGAACACTGTCCCAAGTCTAGAGGAATACGAACTTCAGCACAGCAACTCGAGGAATGCTCCGTGTACCCCAAATCGTTTCGAGGTGAGAGCTGATTCCATGGCTTAGGCTCAAGACGTATGCCAACTTTCCAGAAGCACCTCAAGAGGAGGCTTCTCTCAGCAATAGGTATGTGGGAGGGACCCCGAATTTGCTGCCTCAAGTGGAATATACAGCGAGAAGCCCTAACTTGAAAGGAGGCCGGATTTCCTTGCAGTGGCTTGAATACAGGCTCGTCTTTCATCTCACAGCATGAAGGGATGTCTGAATCCCCTGTGGAGACCTTAAAGAAAGCTCTAGGTCCCTGCCTCATTTTGACGGAATGCCTCACATCCCGTTGACACTTCGAGAGGCACGCGGAATTCACTGCTTCAAAAGGTGATGATGCCTGACTCGTCTTGAATATTGATAGGAATCCCAAAATCCCTGTGGCTATTTGAAAGGTTCCTTGGGTGTCCTGCCTCACCTCGAGAAGCGTCCCTTGTGCCTGCCAAGCCTCGAAGAGATTCCTGAGCTGTCCCTCGTTACTGGACAGGAGTCCTGACGTCACTGAATAAACAGGAGTTTTTAAGGGCCAACCCGCTGTAACCCGAGTACATACCCCAGGTCCCCGCCGCAAGTCGAGAAAAACCATGAGACTTTCCCCTAGTGGCGAGATGAGGCCCGATTCTCCTGCAGTGCATGCAGAGCAATTCCGTGATCCCCATCAAACAAGTCAGGACCTTCGACTTGCTTAATGGATCTCGAGACAGTCCCCAAGAATACGGTCACATGTCTAGATGGATCCTGAGGTCACACCATCAACGCAAAGCAGCACCATGTGCCCCACATCAACTCGAGATAATGCCCGATTCCCCTGCATTGACTGCAGAGCCATCCCCCGTTCCACATTAAACACCACCAGTGGCTTGACTTCCTTCAGACAACTCCAGAGATGCCCTGAGAACACTGTCCCAAGTCTAGAGGAACACCATCTTCAGCACAGCAACTCGAGGAATGCTCCGTGTACCCCAAATCGTCTCGAGATGAGAGCTGATTCCCTGGCTTAGGCTCAAGACGTATGCCAACTTTCCAGAAGCACCTCAAGGGGAGGCTTCCCTCAGCAATAGGTATGTTGGAGGGACCCCCAGTTTGCTGCCTCAAGTGGAATATGCAGCGAGAAGCCCTAACTTGAAAGGAGGCCGGGTTTCCTTGCAGTGTCTTGAATACAGGCTCGTCTTTCATCTCACAACGGGAAGGAATGTCTGAATCCCCTGTGGAGACCTTAGCGAAAGCCCTAGGTCCCTGCCTCATTTTGACGGATTGCCTCACATCCCGTTGACACCTCGAGAGGCACCCGGAGTTCACTGCTTCAAATGTGATAATGCCTGAATCCTCCTGAACATTGATAGGAATCCCAAAATCACTGTGGCTACAGGAAAGGGTTCTTGTGTGCCCTGCCTCACCTCGAGAAGCATCCCTTTTGCCCTGCCAAGGCTCGAAAAGATTCCTGAGGTGTCCCTCATTACTAGACAGGAGTCATGACGTCACTGAATAAACACGTGTTTTCAAGGGCCAAGCCCGCCATAACTCGAGAACATACCCCACGTACCGCCGCGACTCGAGAAAAACCATGAGACTTCCCCTAGATGCGATATGAGGCCTGATTCCCTGCAGTCCATGCAGAGCATTCCCGTGATCCCAATCAAGCAAGTCAGCAGCTTCGAATTGCTTAATGGATCTGGAGAGAGTCCCCAGGAACACTGTCACAAGTCTAGACAGACCCTGACATCACCCCAGCAAAGCAAAGCAGGTCCAAGTACCCCACATCACCTCGAGTTGAGGCCCGATTCCCATGCATTGACTCCAGAGCCATCCCCCGTACCCCATTAAACACCACCAGTGGCTTGACTTCCTTCAGGCAACTACAGAGATGCCCCGAGAACACTGTCCCAAGTCTAGAGGAATACGAACTTCAGCACAGCAACTCGAGGAATGCTCCGTGTACCCCAAATCGTTTCGAGGTGAGAGCTGATTCCATGGCTCAGGCTCAAGACGTATGCCAAGTTTCCAGAAGCACCTCAAGCGGAGGATTCTCTCAACAATAGGTATGTTGGAGGGACCCCCACTTTGCTGCCTCAAGTGGAATATACAGCGAGAAGACCTAACTTGAAAGGAGGCCGGATTTCCTTGCAGTGTCTTGAATACAGGATCGTCTTTCATCTCACAACCGGAAGGGATGTCTGAATCCCCTGTGGAGAACTTAGAGAAAGCCCTAGGTCCCTGCCTCATTTTGACGGATTGCCTCACATCCCGTTGACACCTCGAGAGGCACGCGGAGTTCACTGCTTCAAAAGGTGATGATGCCTGACTCGTCTTGAATATTGATAGGAATCCCAAAATCCCTGTGGCTATTTGAAAGGTTCCTTGGGTGTCCTGCCTCACCTCGAGAAGCGTCCCTTGTGCCTGCCAAGCCTCGAATAGATTCCTGAGCTGTTCCTCGTTACTGGACAGGAGTCCTGACGTCACTGAATAAACAGGAGTTTTTAAGGGCCATCCCCACTGTAACCCTAGTACATACCCCAGGTCCCCGCCGCAAGTCGAGAAAAACCATGAGTCTTTCCCCTAGTGGCGAGATGAGGCCCGATTCTCCTGCAGTGCATGCAGAGCAATTCCGTGATCCCCATCAAACAAGTCAGGACCTTCGACTTGCTTAATGGATCTCGAGACAGTCCCCAAGAATACGGTCACATGTCTAGACGGATCTTGAGGTCACCCCATCAACGCAAAGCAGCACCATGTGCCCCACATCAACTCGAGATAATGCCCGATTCCCCTGCATTGACTCCAGAGCCATCCCCCGTTCCACATTAAACACCACCAGTGGCTTGACTTCCTTCAGACAACTCCAGAGGTGCCCTGAGAACACTGTCCCAAGTCTAGAGGAACACCATCTTCAGCACAGCAACTCGAGGAATGCTCCGTGTACCCCAAATCGTCTCGAGATGAGAGCTGATTCCCTGGCTTAGGCTCAAGACGTATGCCAACTTTCCAGAAGCACCTCAAGGGGAGGCTTCCCTCAGCAATAGGTATGTTGGAGGGACCCCCAGTTTGCTGCCTCAAGTGGAATATGCAGCGAGAAGCCCTAACTTGAAAGGAGGCCGGGTTTCCTTGCAGTGTCTTGAATACAGGCTCGTCTTTCATCTCACAACGCGAAGGAATGTCTGAATCCCCTGTGGAGACCTTAGCGAAAGCCCTAGGTCCCTGCCTCATTTTGACGGATTGCCTCACATCCCGTTGACACCTCGAGAGGCACCCGGAGTTCACTGCTTCAAATGTGATAATGCCTGACTCCTCCTGAACATTGATAGGAATCCCAAAATCACTGTGGCTACAGGAAAGGGTTCTTGTGTGCCCTGCCTCACCTCGAGAAGCATCCCTTTTGCCCTGCCAAGGCTCGAAAAGATTCCTGAGGTGTCCCTCATTACTAGACAGGAGTCATGACATCACTGAATAAACACGTGTTTTCAAGGGCCAAGCCCGCCATAACTCGAGAACATACCCCACGTACCGCCGCGACTCGAGAAAAACCATGAGACTTCCCCTAGATGCGATATAAGGCCTGATTCCCTGCAGTCCATGGAGAGCATTCCCGTGATCCCAATCAAGCAAGTCAGCAGCTTCGAATTGCTTAATGGATCTCGAGAGAGTCCCCAGGAACACTGTCACAAGGCTAGACAGACCCTGACATCACCCCAGCAAAGCAAAGCAGGTCCAAGTACCCCACATCACCTCGAGTTGAGGCCCGATTCCCATGCATTGACTCCAGAGCCATCCCCCGTACCCCATTAAACACCACCAGTGGCTTGACTTCCTTCAGGCAACTACAGAGATGCCCCGAGAACACTGTCCCAAGTCTAGAGGAATACGAACTTCAGCACAGCAACTCGAGGAATGCTCCGTGTACCCCAAATCTTTTCGAGGTGAGAGCTGATTCCATGGCTTAGGCTCAAGACGTATGCCAGCTTTCCAGAAGCACCTCAAGGGGAGGCTTCCCTCAGCAATAGGTATGTTGGAGGGACCCCCAGTTTGCTGCCTCAAGTGGAATATGCAGCGAGAAGCCCTAACTTGAAAGGAGGCCGGGTTTCCTTGCAGTGTCTTGAATACAGGCTCGTCTTTCATCTCACAACGCGAAGGAATGTCTGAATCCCCTGTGGAGACCTTAGCGAAAGCCCTAGGTCCCTGCCTCATTTTGACGGATTGCCTCACATCCCGTTGACACCTCGAGAGGCACCCGGAGTTCACTGCTTCAAATGTGATAATTCCTGACTCCTCCTGAACATTGATAGGAATCCCAAAATCACTGTGGCTACAGGAAAGGGTTCTTGTGTGCCCTGCCTCACCTCGAGAAGCATCCCTTTTGCCCTGCCAAGGCTCGAAAAGATTCCTGAGGTGTCCCTCATTACTAGACAGGAGTCATGACATCACTGAATAAACACGTGTTTTCAAGGGCCAAGCCCGCCATAACTCGAGAACATACCCCACGTACCGCCGCGACTCGAGAAAAACCATGAGACTTCCCCTAGATGCGATATAAGGCCTGATTCCCTGCAGTCCATGGAGAGCATTCCCGTGATCCCAATCAAGCAAGTCAGCAGCTTCGAATTGCTTAATGGATCTCGAGAGAGTCCCCAGGAACACTGTCACAAGGCTAGACAGACCCTGACATCACCCCAGCAAAGCAAAGCAGGTCCAAGTACCCCACATCACCTCGAGTTGAGGCCCGATTCCCATGCATTGACTCCAGAGCCATCCCCCGTACCCCATTAAACACCACCAGTGGCTTGACTTCCTTCAGGCAACTACAGAGATGCCCCGAGAACACTGTCCCAAGTCTAGAGGAATACGAACTTCAGCACAGCAACTCGAGGAATGCTCCGTGTACCCCAAATCTTTTCGAGGTGAGAGCTGATTCCATGGCTTAGGCTCAAGACGTATGCCAGCTTTCCAGAAGCCCCTCAAGAGGAGGCTTCTCACAGCAATAGGTATGTGGGAGGTACCCCGAATTTGCTGCCTCAAGTGGAATATACAGCGAGAAGCCCTAACTTGAAAGGAGGCCGGATTTCCTTGCAGTGGCTTGAATACAGGCTCGTCTTTCATCTCACAGCATGAAGGGATGTCTGAATCCCCTGTGGAGACCTTAAAGAAAGCTCTAGTTCCCTGCCTCATTTTGACGGAATACCTCACATCCCGTTGACACTTCTAGAGGCACGCGGAATTCACTGCTTCAAAAGGTGATGATGCCTGACTCGTCTTGAATATTGATAGGAATCCCAAAATCCCTGTGGCTATTTGAAAGGTTCCTTGGGTGTCCTGCCTCACCTCGAGAAGCGTCCCTTGTGCCTGCCAAGCCTCGAAGAGATTCCTGAGCTGTCCCTCGTTACTGGACAGGAGTCCTGACGTCACTGAATAAACAGGAGTTTTTAAGGGCCATCCCCGCTGTAACCCGAGTACATACCCCAGGTCCCCGCCGCAAGTCGAGAAAAACCATGAGACTTCCCCTAGTGGCGAGATGAGGCCCGATTCTCCTGCAGTGCATGCAGAGCAATTCCGTGATCCCCATCAAACAAGTCAGGACCTTCGACTTGCTTAATGGATCTCGAGACAGTCCCCAAGAATACTGTCACATGTCTAGACGGATCCTGAGGTCACCCCATCAACGCAAAGCAGCACCATGTGCCCCACATCAACTCGAGATAATGCCCGATTCCCCTGCATTGACTCCAGAGCCATCCCCCGTTCCACATTAAACACGACCAGTAGCTTGACTTCCTTCAGGCAACTCCAGAGACGCCCTGAGAACACTGTCCCAAGTCTAGAGAAACACCATCTTCAGCACAGCAACTCGAGGAATGCTTCATGTACCCCAAATCCTTTCGAGATGAGAGCTGATTCCCTGGCTTAGGCTCAAGACGTATGCCAACTTTCCAGAAGCACCTCAAGGGGAGACTTCTCTCAGCAATAGGTATGTTGGAGGGACCCCCAGTTTGCTGCCTCAAGAGGAATATACAGCGAAAAGCCCTAACTTGAAAGGAGGCCGGATTTCCTTGCAGTGTCTTGAATACAGGCTCGTCTTTCATCTCACAACCGGAAGGAATGTCTGAATCCTCTGTGGAGACCTTAGAGAAAGCCCTAGGTCCCTGCCTCATCTTGAAGGAATGTCTCACATCCCGTTGACACCTCGAGAGGCACACGGAGTTCACTGCTTCAAAATGTGATGATGCCTGACTCCTCTTGAACATTGATAGGAATCCCTAAATCACTGTAGCTACAGGACAGGGTTCTTGGGTGCCCTGCCTCACCTCGAGAAGCATCCCTTTTGCCTGCCAAGCCTCGAAGAGATTCCTGAGGTGTCTCTCGTTACTAGACAGGAGTCCTGACGTCACTGAATAAACACATGTTTTGAAGGGCCATCCCCGCCATAACTCAAGAACATACCCCAGGTCCCGCCGCAACTCGAGAAAAACCATGAGACTTCCCCTAGATGCGATATGAGGCCTGATTCCCTGCAGTCCATGCAGAGCATTCCCATGATCCCCATCAAGCAAGTCAGGAGCTTCGACTTCCTTAATCGAACTCGAGAAAGTCCCCAGGAACACTGTCACAAGACTAGACAGACCCTGAGGTCACCCCAGCAATGTAAAGCAGCTCCAAGTACCCCACATCAACTCGCAATGAGGCCCGATTCCCCTGCATTGACTCCAGAGCCATCCCCCGTACCACATTAAACACCACCAGTGGCTTGACTTCCTTCAGGCAACTCCAGAGATGCCCTGAGAACACTGTCCCAAGTCTAGAGGAATACGAACTTCAGCACAGCAACTCGAGGAATGCTCCGTGTACCTCCAATCGTTTCGAGGTGAGAGCTGATTCCATGGCTTAGGCTCAAGATGTATGCCAACTTTCCAGAAGCACCTCAAGAGGAGGCTTCTCTCAGCAGTATGTATGTGGGAGGGACCCCGAGTTTGCTGCCTCAAGTGGAATATGCAGCGAGAAGCCCTAACTTGAAAGGAGGCCGGGTTTCCTTGCAGTGTCTTGAATACAGGCTCGTCTTTCATCTCACAACGGGAAGGAATGTCTGAATCCCCTGTGGAGACCTTAGCGAAAGCCCTAGGTCCCTGCCTCATTTTGACGGATTGCCTCACATCCCCTTGACACCTCGAGAGGCACCCGGAGTTCACTGCTTCAAATGTGACGATGCCTGACTCCTCCTGAACATTGATAGGAATCCCAAAATCACTGTGGCTACAGGAAAGGGTTCTTGTGTGCCCTGCGTCACCTCGAGAAGCATCCCTTTTGCCCTGCCAAGGCTCGAAAAGATTCCTGAGGTGTCCCTCATTACTAGACAGGAGTCATGACGTCACTGAATAAACACGTGTTTTCAAGGGCCATGCCCGCCATAACTCGAGAACATACCCCACGTACCGCCGCGACTCGAGAAAAACCATGAGACTTCCCCTAGATGCGATATGAGGCCTGATTCCCTGCAGTCCATGCAGAGCATTCCCGTGATCCCAATCAAGCAAGTCAGCAGCTTCGAATTGCTTAATGGATCTCGAGACAGTCCCCAGGAACACTGTCACAAGTCTAGACAGACCCTGACATCACCCCAGCAAAGCAAAGCAGGTCCAAGTACCCCACATCACCTCGAGTTGAGGCCCGATTCCCATGCATTGACTCCAGAGCCATCCCCCGTTCCACATTAAACACGACCAGTAGCTTGACTTCCTTCAGGCAACTCCAGAGACGCCCTGAGAACACTGTCCCAAGTCTAGAGAAACACCATCTTCAGCACAGCAACTCGAGGAATGCTCCGTGTACCCCAAATCCTTTCGAGATGAGAGCTGATTCCCTGGCTTAGGCTCAAGACGTATGCCAACTTTCCAGAAGCACCTCAAGGGGAGACTTCCCTCAGCAATAGGTATGTTGGAGGGACCCCCAGTTTGCTGCCTCAAGAGGAATATACAGCGAAAAGCCCTAACTTGAAAGGAGGCCGGATTTCCTTGCAGTGTCTTGAATACAGGCTCGT